TCAATGGCCTTGGCATAGGCTTCGCTGCTCTGGCTGGACGGCGTGAGCACCTTCACATTGCCCTGGCGATCCACGAGCGCCAGCTGCTGCTTCTGACTGGTGTCCAACCTAAATTTGGCCGCAACGGCGGCATCGCTGAAACGACGCACCTGTACGGCGGGCCACTGCAGCAGAAAGAGCGCCGTTTCGGCGCCCAGCGTGGAGTTCTCCGGCTCATGTATGAGCGCCAAATACTCCCGCTGGCTGTTGAGGCCCTCAAACAGAGCTGTTGCGGTGCTTTCACTTTCGCTGACGGGCACAAAATTGGGCCAATGTGTGTTGTTAACCGTCTGATTCTCGGCGGCCAACATGCCAGCGAGCAGACTGCGTATCTCGTCGGGCTTTTGGGTCTCCAATTTAAGGCCATATTGCAGGGAGCTGGGCTGAAAGCCCGGGCCCATATACCGCAGCGTTGGATAGCCCATCACCTCGTAGGCGCGACAGACGCCGTTGTTCTCCTCGGCGGCACAGTCAATGGCACTGACAATGAGCACATCCCGCCAGGCCTGCAGCTGCTCGGCCACCTGCTTATAGATGGGCGCAAAGCGTCTGCAATGTCCGCAATATGTATTGTAGAATTCGACGAGCGTGCCGCGATTCTGCTCCAGCACCGTCTCATTAAAGTTGGCTACTGTTAGCTTGACCACCTTATCGCTGTCATCGTACAGACCGAGCTCCTCGTCCACCGGTGCCGATTGCTGTTTCAAGAGCGTCTCGTATCGGTTCAATGGGACGCCAGCAGCGACCAATTTCAGTATGCACAAGAATAATAAAATTGTTAAAAATGCCAGCTGCGCACCTTGTCGAGTCATTGTCTTTAAACCGTGTTCGCGGAGTTTGAGGTGTTCAGTGCGCAATGCAATGAGAACGACTGATACGATATTTCTACCGTAGCATTTGGAATGTTTTATGGTTTCAATAATTTTTGATTAGCCACACAGAGTATTTTTGCACTCTCTCCCCTTGATGCTTGTTCTTTCCATACGCTCGCGTAAACAGCTCTTGATAGAGATGAGCGCTGACAGCGTAAAAGTGATGTGAGTCACATTTGAGTCACCGAGTTACTGGTCCATGACTTGTGTAGACTTATTGTGGGTGGTAGGGTGTTGTCACACTGAAGTGATGTAACTAAAACCCCTTCCAGTTATTCACTAAAAGGGGCATATACAAGTTATAGATGTATTGCGGGTAGGTATGAATGAGTATATAATGCGACCAAAACTTGTGTAAAGTTGATTGCGGTTGGGAAAACCTGATAAAAGTGTTGCCATACTGCGTCTAAATAGCTATAAGTAACTGGTGCGCACACAGTGACTGACTAAAATGTGTAGACTTTTTTGTGCAACAAAAATTACCCAACGCTTCATATGTTTTTAGTAAATTAGGTTATATCATATTTAAATCTGAGACATGTTCAACGATCAACACAAATTGATGTGCAATTTCAGCTCGTGACTTCAAAATCACTACTACTTCGCTGCAATCTGACAGCACCCACGCACAAAACGATAAGCGATATTAAATACTATCGATAGGCCCCACATACGATATTTATTTATTGAAACAAGTACACCACTACATTCTAAAACAAATTTCGAAAGTTTAAAAAAATTAGCTTTGTTTAGTGAGATTAAGATGATATTGCGCCCATTGGATCGGGCTTTTTCGCCACGTTCCGTAGGCGACGGAGCGTGCTTTATGCTAATTGCAGTATGTGTGCCGCTTACGTACATGTTTCAAGTCACAGTTATAATGCCGGAACTCCACGACGTCGGCAGCTTTTGGTATACAGCAGTGTGGCTCGCCGGCATTTTTTTGGTCTTTAATATAACGTCAAATATGCTGGCCTGCATGCTGGTGGATACCTCAATTAAATGCAAGTACCTGACCATCAGAGTGGCAATATATGTACAATTCAAACAATTTACCTTGCAGTGCATATACTTAAGCCGCCTGTGGATTCGAATCTACTGAGCCGTTGGCATATGTGCGATGCCTGCCAGACGCTTGTGCCACCACGTTCCTGGCACTGTGAGATCTGTAATGTGTGCGTCTTGAAGCGGGATCATCATTGCCGCTTCACCTGCTGCTGTATTGGGCATCATAATTACCGATATTTTTTCTATTTTTTGTTCTACATGGGCTTGGGCGCCTTATATGTGAGCATCAATGCCAGCATTTATCTGTGGTATCTGCACGCCGACTATTACTGGCGGCCGTACACACTGCTCACCGTCTTTGTGCCTGCCTTGAGCCTGACTGTGCACGCCAGCTGGGAGAACTTTTATGTGGTACTCTATGAGCTGAATTTATTGGCATTTTGCATGTGCACATTGCTGCTGGTTTATCATCGGCCCATCTTTCAGCGCGGCGCCGTAATGAAGGAGCGCTCGACCAACAAATATAATCTTGGCCTGCGCGCCAACATGGAAATGGTGTTCGGCAAGCGCATGCACCTGACCTGGTTATCGCCGTTTGTGCGCAGCGATCTGCCGCACGACGGCGTCAACTGGGAGCCCGCCACAAAAGAGGAATGAATCTTATTGTATTTTGATACTAGTCATATCTTAAAGTAATCTCATCTAGCACAAAATGGTAGAATTTAAGTATTACGTAATGCATTCCTTGCATTTATTTAAATATTGCATTTATTGCAAATTTACAGAACGATTTTAATGACTTTTATAACGTTCAGTAGTTTTTATTATTTATCTAAAAAGCTTTCGCCGACAAGCGATTTTAGCTTGGCCAAATGCACTTCGCTGAGAGTGAAGCCTTCGTGTATGCGCTTTGCCAGCGCAATCGTTTCCATGTTGTTCTCCACAGCATATTGTAGCGCCATTAGCGCCTGGCTGGGCGCTTTGTTCAGCACAGTTGCCTCCACGTACTCAAACAAAGCGCTCTCTGCGGGCGTGCCGGGAATGCGATGCTGTTGCTTATCAATATAGGCGAACACCTCGCTGGCCTTATCGAAGCTGCTGTCGCCGCGCACGAGCAGCGTCAGAATGTCGCCCAGCATTTGGCCGGTGAAGGAGACTTTCCTGACCCGTTTAGCGGACTCCTCGATTTTGTTGTACATGTCCAGCGCCACCTTGGCGCACTGTTCGGGCAGCTGTTGCTGGGCGGGCAGTTCGGCATTTGGGCGATTGTTCACCATTATGCGGAGCACATAAAGCAGCAGACTCTCGCGATGGGTGTGATCGAAGATGACCATGTCGGACCAGATGCGCGGCACATGCTCAACGGCACCATTAATTTCTATGGCTCGAAGGATCTCCTCCATAATGCCCGGCTCGGGTATGTAGATGTTGGGCACCAGCACGTCGTATGTCTGCATGAAGTCCTCGATGGATTCGGTCTGACACAGCAGCGCCAGATAATTGCGATAGTATATGCCCTCCTTGAAGGAGTCGCCTATCAGATCGTAGTTATTGCCTGTATGCAGCAGCTCATCTACTTTCTTAGCCAACGCCTTGTCGTTCAAATGATTGCGGCACACATCCATGGCCGTGGCAAAAAAGTACGTATCCTTGGGATGCTCCACCTTGAACTGCTTGCCGTTAATGTCGTTAAGGATATCCACAATGACGTGCGATACGGGCGCGCGTTCTCGGCAGAATATAATTAAGATATAGTAATATGTGCCAAGACTGGGAGTTACGCCCAATTGCTTGAATTCCGGAAGAACCTTTAGCGCTGAGCTGCGGGCCAATTTAAAGTTTCCAAACGTGCTGATGCATTCGAGCACCGCATTTAGCGTGCCCAGATTGGGATGCAGTTGCTGCTCGGCCATTTGATTCAGCAGCACCGTGCACAGATGCCAGCGCTGGTCGGCCGTGTCCTTGAGCAAGCTAACAATCTGAATTATCGCATTGTAGGTATTGGTATCCAGTTGAATTTGCCTCTCGTTAGCCTCTTGCAGCAGCGCATAGGCTCGCTCACACTGCAAATATTTGGCCATGCCGCGTATAAGCGCCGCATAGGATTGCGGCGTCTTTGGCTCGATGGCGGCGTACAGTTTTTCGGCCAAATCACCATCCTTCCATGTTTTGCCATGACGTTCACGTCGCCGACTGTTCTGCAGGAACCAGCGTTCCTCAATATACTCTTCCGGCAGCGGTTCTTGGTTGTTGTAGAAGCACACCAGCTCCAACAGGCTCTGCTTCAGTGCATTATTGACCTCAATGCCCTTTTTCTCCAATAGATTGTACACGAGAACAGCATCCGCGAGCTCACCTTGTGCAATTAGTTGCTGAAGTGAGCTCGTATCCACCTCCGACTCCTCTGTGTAGACCATGGATGGTGCAAACTTTTCAATGGGCGGTTGCGCTTCTTGGTGCTGCAAGTTAGTAAGTAGAGGATTTTTAATGCGATTTTGTGGTCACGCCAAACACTTACCATAAACAACTCGCGATGCTCCTCTTTAATCCAATTGGCTGCTTTGCGTCCCGCCTCTTTGGACAGCGTATACGTGCGCTTGGCCACATTCGACGTGGGTATCAGAAAGGGATCATCGTGGTATTTATAGTGTGGCGCCGTCGAGTCACGTCCCACGGTGCTGGCCAATGCCTGCAGCAGATCTGTGGGCGAACGTTCAATGCGTTTGGGTATTTCAATGTGCTCGGCGGCCGGCGGCGCAGCGGTTGTGTAATGTGTGCCATTGCCACTGGCAATGTGACGCGCAAGGCTGGAACTGGGCAGCAGTCTTAGCTGGCGCGTTAGGTACATGGTGTGTGATTTGGGCCAATATATCTGTGCACTTTCAGTAACAAATAATTAATTTTCAATTAACAAATATAAATCGCTAACCAAGTGGCAAAAACAGTGTGACCGAAGTGAGGTACTCGCAGAATGTGCAACAGCTGATTGTAACGACTTATCGAAATGGTGTATCGATAAATTGTGGCGGCTAACATATGTTGCTCCTCACTGAGCACGGCTCTTAAATTCGAATAATAATTGTATATTTCTCACGGTTAAAACGCACAAGCTAATACTTTAGAATGTCCACAATGGAAGTTCTGGTTAATAATTAATCAGCGTGGTTACAATGGTTCTTTTTTTTTTTAATTAAACCTGACGTAAATCTAGCTCAACACAACGCTCTCTCTCTCTCTCAATTTCTCTCTCGGGATCTGATTGATCTCAGTTTTTATTTTTTCGAGAGCTGTTGTCTTGAGTTTCAGTCTTCAGATAACTCTGCGTGTGCTCGCTTGTTTCGCTGACTTATCAGACTTGAATTTCGTTAGGTTATCATGACGATCCCGATCTTGTATTATGACGATCGCAGTCCGCCGGTGCGAAGTTGTCTCATGCTCATCAAAATGCTGAATATCAATGTGGAGCTGCGTTTCGTGGACCTATTCAAAGGGGGACAATTTGAGAAAGACTTCTTGGCGGTAAGTCATGCAAATCATATGCAGAGCCGAAACTAATTATTTATCCTCCAGTTAAATCCGCAGCACAGTGTGCCCACGCTAGTGCATGATGAACTGCTGCTGACCGATAGCCATGTCATACTCATACATCTTGTGGAACAGTTTGATGCACAGGGCACACTGTGGCCCAGGGATTACGCAGCCAGAATGAAGGTGCTTAATCGCTTGTTCTTTGAGTGCTCCTTTCTCTTTCGCCGTGACAGTGATTTAATGGTGCTTAGCCGCCTCTTAATCGTAAGCCCTACCACTCACTCATACCCTTTCCTTACCAATTGCCAGTCGGAAATCGTGCGCAAGCAGTATGCCAATGTGGATGTGGCCTACCACGAACGCAAGCTGTGCGAGGCATATGACATTATGGAGCAGTATCTCGACGGGCAGACCCACATGGCTGGCGATCAGGTGACGGCCACAAAATTTCAAACCACAGCGCTGCGCCCCCATTTTAATTGAGTTTAGTTTTTATATTGCATTTTAGCTGACGCTCGCCGATATATCCATTGTGAGCACACTGAGCACCGTGCATCTCATGTTTCCATTGGCAGCAGCTCGTTGGCCGCAACTGCAGCGCTGGTTTGCCGCAATGCAGCAATTGGATGCCTACGAAGTGAATCGTCTTGGCGTGGAAAAACTGCGCAACATCGTAGAAGAGCTGGGCAAGTTTCAGTTTCCCAAGCGGCAGCTGTGATAGGACGAGTGTCCCAAACCGATTCCACATTAACCGAACTTTGAAGCATTTGTTTAAAAAATGGTGGAGGAATAACATATTATAGATATAGCTTAGTTCATAAGTATAAGCCTAACATATTAGGTTTTCTACATCTAAACTTATAGACAACATTCATGTTAGCAAGAAAAGGAAACCTGACTAAATCTGCGTTTGAAACAGCTTCACGTAGCATACTGGTTCGAACCGTCAACTTAATGATCAAAAGTTTGTGCTGTGTCTACATATCAAATTCGTATTATCCTTAATATTACCACATCCATATAAGCTAGGCCAATTAGGAGCATTTGCTGTTTGCTCAGAGCCTATTATATAAAGCCGCTAATGTTATTCCGAATAATGCCTGGACATCATTAGCATGCGGTCAACAGTCGCCCCCCATGTTTGATTTGGTGGGGTTACGCATTCTGTTTGCTCTCGAAATGTTTGGCCAACATTTGCATATGCCGACAGCATGTCATGCCTAATGGCCATATCGAGTGCGCAATTTTGAGTTGGGTAAAAACGCTTCAAGTACGTGGCGTTAATTGCACGGCCAGCCGCGTAATATATAATTCCGTGCTGGTCGTCCACTTCAGAGAAGTTTGGTCTACCCGTAGCAATCCCTACCGTGACCGTGCCCGTTCCTGTTTCCGTTTTGGACTATCCGTCACGACAGTCCCAGGTGCTGGCATTTTGATTGAGCAGCAGCTGCAGCTGCAAGCTGCAGCACGATTTGCTTTGTGCAAAAAAAGTCTCTCCTTGGAGCACGCAACAAAACTTTCCAGTCAGCAAGTTTTTCAATTTGCCGAGCTTTAAGCTAACATTGTTCTGCGCCATCATGACAGACGCTTGTTTAGCTTATATTTTGGCCAGTTTCTTATGCGAACAATGGAAATAAATCACTTTGCACTATATACAAATTGTTATAATTATCAGAAAATTATGGCAAACACCAGTTTCCTAATAGAAGAACCCAACACATTTACCACACAAACACAAGAAATGTCACTGAAGTGAACATCAAATTCAGCTGGGCCTACCTGCATTTTTGAGAATCGAGTAGAGGGGAAACTAGTTGGCAAGCATGAGCGAGTCAGAGATAGATACAGATCGGGGCAGCTAGGCTCTCAGACTGTCACTCTCTCACTCTCAGTCTCCCTTGCTCGCTCTTCCAGTCTCTCTCTCTCTTTCTCTTTCTTTAACTTTCTTTCACTCAGCTCTCTATCTATAGGAATAGGATTTACTTTTTTTAATTCAGTTGCTGTTTTTCTCTCTCGTGAATTCCATACCTCGCAGACTCTCAACCTTTTGTGTTGCTCTCTTTCCGACTCTTTCTAATTCTCTGACTAGCTCTCTGTTTATGTTCTCTAACTAATTGGTTCTCCAATGCATGGACTACTCTCTCTCTCAATATTTCGCTTTCTTCAACACGCTCTTCCTTTTTACTGACTATCTCTCTCTCTTTCTCTTTAGCACGCACACACACATAGACACACGCTCTATCTTTAGTCTCTCTCTCCGACCACCCTCTCTCTTTTACAATCTCTGTATCTCCATCCCTCTCGCTCTCTTGAGGACTTATTCTCTCTCTTCTCTCGCTGACGTTCACCTTCCCTCTCCGGATCTCTATTCCCTACCCTTTCTCGCTCTCCCTTGATCTTTCTGACTCGTTTTTCACTCTGATAAGCTGACTCTTTCTCGCCCTCTCTCTCGTCCTCTCTCTCTCTCTCTCTCTCTCTCTCTCTCTCTCTCTCTATCTGTCTCTCATTTTCTCTCACTTTCTGGAGCACTCTCTCTCATTTTCAATTTTATTTTCTCTCACTGACTCTCTCCCTCTATACTCTCTCTCTCTCTCTCTCTCTCTCTCTCTTTCAATCTCTTTCTCTCTCCACAGCCTTAACTCTATGTTTTTTGCCTGTTGGATTTTGTAGGTATTAAGCACTTTCATTTAATGCTATTAACTCTGTTATGAAATGCAATTAAATTGATAATAATTTATTAAATTGCAAATTGTTTTTTAGTAATAATTTCATGTAGTACAGATATTTCGCTCTGCTATGCATGAAAGAGCTTTACCTACATATATATGTGTGTGTGTGTACATACATACATATACATACATAAATATGCGTTGCATATAAAACCAGGTTTCGTTTTTCCTTTTTGTTCGATGTTATTTGCATTTTACGTTGAACTCGATTAAAAGTCAAACTGCCGGCGAATGATTTTATTTATGGCCATTCGACGCTTCAGCAAGGAGCAAAGGGGCGTGGCACGGGGTAGAGTTGACCATGGCCAAGGCGAAATATGGTGCAAGGGAAATCGAATGGGTTGGGCATTGGATTTCACGAAAAACTCTAGTACAGTGCACATTTGCCTCGGCTGACAAAATATTATTTTTATTTAAATTTATAATTAAAATAATTATGTTAAATAGGCGATTGTGGGCGGGGCAGTGAGGCGTGAGTGCATAAATTGCGAACAGCAAAGGGGCCAAGGCAAGCGAAAACAAACGCCTAAAAGCAGGCAACGCCTTTTGTCAAGAGGCGGCATAATTAAGCGCATAATGACTCGAAATTAGCATGGCAGCTACAATTTACAAGTCTATATGGAGAGAGGGGAGGGGGTGTAGGGGTAGGGGTAGCTCGCTCTGCCTGCTGCAAATCGAGTTATAATGACAAACGACACCAGCAACAACAACTTTTTGTTGGCCTCTTCAAACTTTTTAGCTGGCAGCAAGTAGAGGGGCGCAGGGGGGTATATATGATCTGGGGGGGCAGGTGCTGGGGTCTGCAACTTGAGCTTAATGCTGAGAAATACAAATTGATTTATGTGTAAAATGTTGCTTTGAAGTCGCAATGCGACGCCCAAAACAAGTCGCTTCAGTTGCTGCCTCCGCTCCTGCTGCCTCCGCTCCTGCTCCCCTGCCCCTGCTCCCCTGCTCGTCTGCAGCTTTTTGCAACACCTTTCACTCAATTTACCGAATCGGAGACCTTGCTGCTCGAAAGTCGAAAATCACATTAAATGCTGCCGCCTATTAACTAGACCCAGCTGTTTGCTTTAAAGCCTCGGCCCCGGCCCAAATTCCCTCGGACTATTCACATTCGAGCCAAAAAGCCAACGATGCGTGCGCTGCGAAAATATTGACAAAGTTTTATGGTCCAAGCATTCCATCAGCACTTTAAGCAGCATTTGTTGATTCTATTTGGGTCAGACCAACTTTGGTCCAAAGATTTTCCACTTTTCGGCAAAATGGGGCGTGGTGGGCGGCGCAGCAAATTGAAATCCAGTCGCAGCTGAATTATTGATTAAAGAGGCAGCAAAAAAAAAAAACATATAAAAAGGAAAATGTATGCTACAGCTGAGAGACTGTGCAATACCCTGTAATATTTAATGAAGCAAGACAAAAAATTTGTGATATAATTCTTTAGTTTCTGCCGAATTAGCTGAGATAGGGGCAAGTATTTGAAAAAAGGTATTCTACGGAAAACATCTACATCTAATCAGAATTAGGTTCAGATGGTGTAAAGTAAGTATACCCAAAATTTCTAAGAGTTTTTCTTAAGATTTTACGAAAGCTATTAAAAATATGAAAAATTATTATAGGATAAAAGAATCCAAAATATATACATAAATGTAAATTGTTTGACTTAAATTCGTATAGAGGAAGAGAGAAAGCGAGGGAGAGAGAGAGAGGGAAAGATAGAAAGAGAAGGATAGAGGGAAAGAGAGTCAGAGATAGAAAGGTAGAGAGAGAAAGATAGAGAGAAAGAGAGATATGTTTATATAGAAAAAATACCAAAACGTGAAATGAAATGCTTCACAATATATCTATATATACTCTATATGATATAGGATATAATAGGATATTATAGGATATCAAAAGTCCAGCTCTGCTTTCCACACACACTCAAACCACAAAGAGCATACCCCTTTCCACTCTACTCCCAGTTTACAGGGCATACAAATGCCTTTTAACTTTTTGGTTTTTTTTTTGGCCAATTATTACCTGTATATTTGGTTTTTTCTCTAATTTTATCTGCTTTAAGCCTGATTGAGCGCCAAAATCATTGAATACAATATTGGGTTTGGGCCAACCTTTTACTCTTTATTTTTTTTTTTTGTTGCCTGGAATTCGTAATTAGGGTTTTCTCATATTAAGCAGCAAGGACTAAAGCTGAATTGGCCAAATGAAATGTTGGCAAACAAAGTTTGATAGGGGGAGAGGGGGAGAGGGGGGAGGGGAGGGGGGTTGGTGTCGGCAAATGAATTTGCGGGCAGACAAAAACCAAAAAAGCAAACAAATCCAGCGAAGAGCACGAAAAGTTCAAAGGATGCCGCAGACTCCCATACAAAAAAAAGCCACAACTAAAGCAGGAAAAAGTAAACGAAAAGTATAAATAATTAAAACAAGTCTGTCAATAAAACGCGAAAAAGTAAAGGGTATACAAACTGTTTAACAAAATTTTGTTTTTTTGTTCCTGCGAATGCTCATAAAATTTTAATTGCCGATTGGCAAAAAGGAAAATAGACCGTGGAACCGACGTCAAGCGAAAACTGTGAACAACCTATAAATATAAATATCAATTGCCAGCTTTGTCGATGTTTTGGTATTGGGACACGCGGCGTATGCGCGATGCGCGATGCGCTGTGTTTATTTTTATAGCCCGATGACGACATTGAGTCTCGAGTTTTTCCAATTAAATGTCCAAGCAGCAGTCGACAGTTTACAATAAATAATGCGGCTATTTATAGACAGACTGTCTGCATGGCTATAACTATTTTGCCACATAATTTCTTGTTTATTTATTTAAATGAAGAGCAAAAAAAACAACAGGCCAAAAGCCAAATGTCAAGTGCAAAAATTATTTGGCCAATGCCTGACTTCATTTCCGCTTCCGTGCTGTAAAAACGAAAACGGAAATACGGAAATACAGCTAAACAATAGCCACAAGTGGGTTTCTGTGCTTTCCACATTCCCGAGAGCGTAAATAGGCAATCAACCCGGGAGGGTCTGAGGAAGGGAGGGAGGGAGGGTAGGGAGCGGGGGGCATGCGGGCCAACGCATTGAACCCATTTTCGCTTGACTTCATTTGTTGGGCTTATGCGTTGCCCATTTTTATTATACCCTGAACACATTGAAAATGGGTAAAAAGGGTATAATGTATTTGTGCAAATGTATGTAACAGGCAGAAGGAAGCATCTCCGACTCCATAAAGTATATAGATTCTTGATCAGCATCAACAGCCGAGTCGATCTAGCCATGTCCGTCCGTCCGTCTGTCCGTCTGTCTGTCTGACCGTATCTATGAACGCAAGGATCTCAGAACCTATAAGAGCTAGAGACTTGCAATTTTAGCTGTAGATCCACCTAGTGCCAGCGCAGTTTGTTTCCGATATTCGATACCTCGTTTCTAAGTAATCGATAAAAATCGATATCGAAATCCTGTTTTTTGAGCAATTTTAGTAAATAGTATGAGCTAAAATCACCAAACTTGACATGTAGCTTCTAGAATAATATATATATATCAAGTATCTTTTTTTTTATACCTATCGCCTGTTGGAAGAAGAGGGTTCAGGGTATCCCCTAGTCGGGAGCTCCCGACTAGAACCTCTTACTTGTTTTTTCTATATATATTAAAGAAAATTATATATATTTTTAAACTAAACTCACTTTCAGCCTGCCTAAAAGTTCCACTCACTTAAGTTGCTCATTCCACATATTATCTTTAAATACTATTTAATTTATAGGGCATTTTTTATGCGACTTTCCTCCAGCTGGCTGCGCCTTGTTGCCTATTGTGCTGGCAGTTTTGGGCATTGCCCTTGGCCATGCTCTGGCCCTTTGTTACGCTTTTATGTTGATTTATGGGAAAATAATCCTGGCGCATTTAGCATGCAGTACCAGAGGCCTAAGCATAAGCCTCCATCTTAGGCCAACCGACTGCAAATCAAATTTACGAAACAAACACACAGCAAAAGCCGCAAGTGTTCAAGTGGCTAACTTGCTGTTTAAGTTGCGCTCACTCAAGTGCCTGTCTGAGTTCTTGAAGAATTAAGTTCCTATACCCTGTACGAACAAGGGCATGTGGGTATATTGGGCTTGTGCAATATCTGTTTGCTCGTACGCCTGCTTGAGCTCGCAGAAAAAATATTCACCAACTCCCTTTCAAGTAATCATAGGGTATCTGGCGGTCGGCAACATTTTGTTGGCTGTAAATTAATTGGACTCAATTCTGATTGAATTTTACATTTTTGTTGCGCACACAAGCAAATGTAATTAAATGATTGCAATTTGTTTTCCATTTCAAACTTATTTTTTTTTTGCTTGTTTAATAATCATTTACAAGGCATTGCGAGATTTTGTGTATGGAATCGCAATCACGCGTTTCTGTTTAACCGCGGGGCGTTCATTAAATTGCGCAGCCAAAGGGCGAATTTAATTCACTTAAACGAAATGACAGTGGATAAACCAAAATGTTGTTAATTAAAAAATTTGCTGCCCTGGGGGGGGGGGGGGGGGCGAACTCAGAGACTGGGCCACGTATTTTGGCTACCCGACAGACTGGACGACTGCCTTGGCCCACAGCGGCTGTAAAAATAAACCAACACGCCATGCGGCGGGAATGTGTGAAAAAAACAAAACAACAGACCCCCAGCAGTCCCGCACCCCCGCCAGCTGGGCTGAGAGACGCCTGGAAAATCTCGAAACGCTGACGCAGCGCAACTATTTCGGCCAACTTTTCCACCTGTTCAATGTGCCCGAGGCGCAAGGGCATATAAATAGACACAACCCAGAGCGCAATTTGTGCGACGTTTCTGCGCCATCTGCACGTCCGCCAACGATTGTTGTCGAAACTGTATCCGCTCTAGCGGCGCATGTTATCGCTGCGCCTGTTATCGAAACTGTATCCGCTCTAGCGGCCAATGTTATCGATGCGCCTGTTATCGAAACTGTATCCGCTCTAGCGGCAAATGTTATCGCTGCGTCTGTTATCGAAACTGTATCCGCTCTAGCGGCAAATGTTATCGCTGCGCCTGTTATCGAAACTGTATTCGCTCTAGCGGCCAATGTTATCGCTGTGTCTGTTATCGACGTCTGCGGCCAGCAAGGTCACACAGTCAAGCCATTTGGTTTTTCCTCCATTTTACTTATTTTTCTCTCTTCTGATTGTGCGTCTTGTTGTCGGCCTTAAACCAAATGTATGTTATTTCTGGCATTGTTGTTAATATGAATAAAATATGACCATTTATTAAGCGCATGCACTTTGTCTGGCTCGACATTCAAAGCATTCCGAAACCTCAATCCCACCCAGCCTCAGGCATGCTTTGTTTATCAGATGCTCTAACAAAGTGGGGTATAAGCAAGATGCGACTCTTTAGGTAACTCATATAATGTTTATATATAGATTTTAAGAAATTGCAGCTTAATTAAAGAGTATTCTTTATATATTACTATGGAAACATTTCTGATTAATAAAAGGAATCTTATCCTTCTTTTGCCTCCACTCAATCTGCGAATCTTTGAAAAAAGCGTATTCAGTCTTCGGCAACTCTTGATGTTTCATTTTATCTTGTTCATTAAACATTTTGACATCATTTAAATTTTCTGCCGAGCGCCCTCAAGCGTTTTTCAATAACGCAAAGCGTATAAATTAAATTAACTGCCTGGACATAAAAATGGCTTTGACCTTGTGCATTTGAAAAGTTGTTTTCCGTTTTTAAATAAATCCATATACTAATGGCATGTGTCGGCCATTAGAAGTATTCAAATTATCTTGTAATAGTTGAGTTTTATGGTTTTTATTGCTGTAATGAAAGCTAATAAAAAAAAAAATAAAAGGTATCTGCCAGCCTGTCATTGTGTTTCTTCCTTGTCCTCCGAAATATCGGATAGGGAGGGTATTTCGAAAAAGTTTAAAAATTCCATTTTAGCCTTGATCGTATCCCCCTTTGGCGTCTTTAACATCTCATCGTCGTCGTCGTCCTCATCATCATCAGCGTCATCGTCTTCGCCGTCGAAGAACAAATCAATTCCCGTTGCATCTTTGCACTCTAAATGATTCGCGCTAGTTTGAGTACTCGACGAGGCAGTCGTAACGACTTCATTGTCAGTTATTTCGCGTATCTGTATATCGGAATCGGAGATTCGGAAACGTATATTACGCGCTTCCTTCCGGCGTGCCCTACGCTCCGCCCGCTTCGATTCTTCTTCCGGGGATTCCCCCTCGCTAGAAGCGTGTCTCTTCTCGGCGTTTTCTAAAGTTTCACTGTTCTCGTCCACGGTCTTCTTTTGCTGCCCATTTTTAAATGTATTTTCTCTAACTTCATCATCGGTTTCGATTTCGATTTCACTTTCACTTTCACGCTGTCCGAAAAGCTCTATTTCAGCGTTCAATATGGATTCTGTGCTTGCAAGGCTGTTTTCGAATATTGTGGAAGTGGTTTCATTTGTTCTGTTTACAGTTGCAGTGAATTTAGTTGACACTATGGATCTCTCTTTTTTGGACTCCATAGGTATGTTTTCTTTATGTTTTGTTCGTATTGTTGTGTATCGAAAACTTTCATTTTAAATAACATTCAAGAATTTACAAAACTGATAAGATATGCAGAGCTCAGAAGAAAGTAAATCTAATCTTATAGGTTTTTTGGTGAAATGGATTAAAGAATTATCTTAACTCACATTCCAACATTGTTTCAAACTGACCCCGATGTGAATATTTTAATTGAAATTCGCATATTTGCAGCACTTTTTACACAATTCAAATTCATTCAGCACTCGGTGAAGCCGATTCCAATGCCAATTTTAAGCATGATCCAATGCATTCCGATTCCAAATGGAAATTACGAGCAATAGGAAAAAGAATAGAGAACAAAAAAAAATAACAAAAAATGCAACAAGACAGCTGGCCAAATGCCGAAAGTCCGAAAAGTGTGAAAAGAGTGGAAATTTTCAAAGATAAACACACAGCATGATCATCTTATATATATATATACACTATATATGCGTTAATTGGATAATAAGAACAACAATAACACGTAGAAGAAGAAGAAGAAGAAGAGGCAGAGGCAGAAGAAGATGCGATAGCTTGTAAGAATTTACTTAGGGGCGCGCGTCTATTTTCACAATATGTGTGAAAAATTATTGAAATTGATTTGCGCTAAGTTTTTGGATGTTGCTGGTCTAAAATTAAAGCGCACGACTCATGCGAGATGGCGACGCTCAAAGTCGCAACAGTGAGAAATAAATTGCTAACCACACACACACAAACACACACACAAACACACACACACACACACACACACACTCGCATGACAGATGCGCCCACGCCTTGGTCAGAAAAACGCTCAGCAGCGCTCGTTCGAATAGTCGACTCCGAATTCGGATATATTTTTGGAAAATTCTTGAACAGCATCAGGAGTGTGTGTGTGTGTGTGTGTGTGTGTGTGTGTATGTGTGTGCTGTTGTGCTCTCGCGCTTTAAAAGCCGCATACGCCCCGTGGCCAGGCATCAGTGTAGGCTTGCATTAGCTTTGGTGAAGATCTTACAAATTGTTTACTCCCACCCAAAAACACAAACCTCTAAAAAATGTCTCTAGAACGTGCTGTTCGTGCCAAGGTGAATAAAAGTGAAAATACAAAAAATATATATATAAAAATACATATGTATATAAAAAAAAAATACAATTTAAATAGTTAAACTATGCCAATGAAAAGTGTTCGTGTCGTAAATCGTAATAATAATGATATTTTTTGTTGCAAAATGATCTCATCCGGCTGTAGATTGCCGGCAAACGCAATCCCGAGATGGACAAAGAGGCCCAGGAATGGATTGAGGCCATTCTTGGTGAGAAATTCCCCGCTGGTCAGCTGTACGAGGATGTGCTGAAGGACGGTCAGGTGCTCTGCAATTTGCTTAACAAACTGAAGCCGGGCGCTGTGGCCAAGATCAACTCCTCGGGCGGTCAGTTCAAGTTCATGGAGAACCTTAACAACTTCCAGAAGGCTCTCAAGGAATACGGTGTGCCCGATATTGATGTCTTCCAGACTGTTGATCTGTACGAGAAGAAGGATATTGCCAATGTGACCAACACCATTTTCGCTTTGGGCCGTGCCGTAAGTTCATTGATTGACCGACTGATCGATTGATTGACTGATTGACTAACTCGGTTTGTTTGTGTTGCAGACCTACAAGCATCCGGAATTCAAGGGCCCCTTCCTGGGCCCCAAGCCCGCCGATGAGTGCAAGCGCGACTTCAGCGAGGAACAGCTGAAGGCTGGCCAAACCATTGTCGGCCTCCAGGCCGGCTCCAACAAGGGCGCCACCCAGGCTGGCCAGAACATTGGCGCTGGCCGCAAAATCTTGCTCGGCAAGTAAATGCTTGGCACTCGCCCTCAGCAGCTGTTGCCCCCCAACTTTCTGTCTGTCTTTCTAATTTGTTATTTAAATTACATCTATGTTTAATTGTTAAGTTTACAAACCAAAACATTAAACCAACAACAAAACTATTCCTCACACAAAACACACACCAAAAAAACCAAAAAAAAAAAAATAATTACACTCACACAAATGCAAGTACGCACACACGCACAACAACACACAAGGGCTTGTCGATGCGCCTTATATTAAGTATACGCCTAAGTTAATTTATACAAGAAAATCAATTAATAAAAAAACAAGATGATGATGATATTGTGGAGAAAACGAAACCGAGAACGTGCAGCATAATTGAAAGCGGATGAAAATCGAACACGAATTCAATTCCAGGCCAATCAGACATCTACAAAGTGTTGCGTTTGTGTGGGTGTATTCGTTATTTATTCGTTTTATTCATCTATCTATCTATCTGCGTCTATATGCGCCATGATCTAAATATGGCTGCCACAGCCATGATATATATATAAATTTATATATATACCTGAATAGCGACGAAAACATAAACAGGCCGTCTTCAGAAGTGTGTGCGAAAAAATTCCATCGAGGCGTCTTGAGGTCATTGCAGACAGCTACTTATAAGCGTCTATATGAATATATATCTAGATGTGTGTATATATAGCTTCGATCCAGGTTTTCCCTTCTTAAAAACTGTAAAACTTAGACTGGATCAGGAACTGCTTTATGTCTTATATCAAGTGGAATAAAGTCCAACCTTTATTTTGTCTACCTGATTTATCTTAAATTGAATTAATATATTTCTAATTTTTTTTTTATATATTTATATATTTCCTCTTGGCAGCCATTAAATTCGGATATAGTATAGACAATTTTCGCAGGTGTTAGACGACATTGAAAATTATGGCCCACATGCCTGTTGGGTCCGAGAAAATGTTCCGAATTTCACGCCCCCAATTTAAATTCGTTGGCTTTTTGATTTGATTTATGCACACGAATTTTGCATTTTGTTCACATTGTTGGGCAATGAGTATCCGTTAATAATGCAAATGAAAAATGTACTTCATTAGTTTTAGCTAATTGCCAGCAAGTCTTTGCTAAATATAGGAATTCTTTTAATATACACAAAATAATTATTATTCAGCCAAATTTCCACAAAGTCCAAGCGAACAAAAAAAACAAAAAAAAAAACAAAATTATACACAATGAATAATCCATAGATATTCTATGTGAAAAAAAATTATTGACAATATTTGTAATCCTTTTTGGCTTCATTTGAGATTCTAGAAACAATAAAGGAAAGTCTTGAGTTTTATTTAATTTATTTTCTTTAAATTATTTGTAGAAAAGCAAAAAAGAACTTTGTTTAATTTTTTTAATATTATTTGTAATAAAAAACTTATTGCACTATATTTTTAATACTTTTTGGCTTCATTTGAAATTCTATAAACGTCTTAAGTTTTATTTAATTTATTTTCTTTAAATTATTTGAAGAAAAGCAAAAAAGAACTTTGATTAATTTTTTTTTTAATATTATTTGTAATAAAAAACTTACCGCACAATATTTTTAATCCTTTTTTGCTTCATTTGAGATTTTAGAAACAATAAAAGCAAGTCTTGAGTTTGTTTTAATTTATTTTCTTTAAATTATTTGAAGAAATGAAACAAAATAACTTTCATTACTTTTTTCTTAATATTATTTATAATAAAAAACTTATTGCACAATATTTTTAATCCTTTTTGGCTTCATTTGAAATTCCAGAAAAGTCTTGAGTTTTATTTAATTTATTTTCTCTAAATTATTTGAAGAAAAGAAAAAAGAACATTGATTTATTTTTTTTAATATTATTTCTTCTATCAATATTGGCTTTTGTTTATGCCCTTTTATAAATAAATGAGCTGACTAATTTATGGCCAAAAATATAAATGTGGCGTTAAAAGTAAAGCGCGTGCCAGAATTTTGTTTACATTTCAATAATTTGCGCAATTGTTTAAACAAAATCGAATACGCATATGTACAGATTTTACATATGTATATATATAAATTGATACATTTTCGCTATATATAATTATGATATTATTTTGGAATTCAAAGCCGAAAGAAAAGAAAACAAACATAAAGTATCCAACTTGACACTGAAAATGTGAAGATATATGTTCTATATGTCTATATATATATGTCTGTCATGGCGAGAATATATATGCTGCATGCAGGTCTCCGTTTGATATATAGGAAATCATAATTCTCTGCTCTATAATATTTATTTATTTGGTATTTTGCGATCTTAAACAGATTTATTTATGTCAGCCTTGGGCAACTAAGGCAATATATATGTATATATTTGTATGTATGTTTTTTCATATAATTATTTTTAAAAGGATTTATTGTATTTATAAATTATATATGCCGGGGCATAAGGCAACAGCAGGCTTAAGGTAATATGACAAGAAAAAGGGATATCTTTGGCAAGCCGAAGACTGAATACCCTTGCAGACATTTGCCTTACGGTTGAGCAGATATGTGACTATAGTAAAGCTGAGTTTGGTGAAAACAGAATATTTTGCCATACAAAAACTTACATTTTAACTAATTCTTTTATAGAGCTATATAATATAGTAGTACGATCTTGATAAGATTTAGCTCACATAAAGGTAGCATAGTTAAACTAGCAAATGGCGGGTTTGGTGAAAATATATTGACAAGCAAAAAAGTTTTCCATATAAGAACTTCATTTTTTATATATGATATAGTTGTCCGATGTTGATACGATTTTGCATATATATATGGACTGTAATGAAACATATGAACACCGATTTTAGTCAAGATATCTTGAAAAACAAACAAGTTTTTCATACATGAAATTACTTTTTGACTGTTCGTGCATATTTTAGATATTTTAGATATAGCATATATAAGATATCGTGGTCCGATCCAGCAAGACGGACGGATCTATGCAAAGTTTCAAGACAATATCCTTAAAGCTGACAGACTAGTTTGAATAGATAACTCGCCTGTTGCAGATGCAGACCTGGAATATATATACCTGATAGGGTCGGAGATGTCACCTCACAAATTACATGACAAACTCATAATACCCTCTGCAAGTGTATACAAATAAAATACAAATTCTAAAATTAAGCTTTGCATAGATTGAAAATCGTTGGGTTTTGTTTTATTTTGTGAGAAAACATCTAGCACTTAGGTGCAGCGTGTTTCCAAGTCGGTAATGCGTTGGGTGACACGCTTAAAGGTCTCCTTCAGCTCCTTGACAACATCCTGCTTGGCCATGATTTTCTCGACGGTCTCATCGTAGTCGTACATTAGAGCCGGCATGGACAGGAGTCCGCCCTGAAAGCTGAGATCCGAGCTCTGCTTGCGTATGGCGCTGCGCTCCAGCTTCGCCTTGTAGAGACGTTCGCGTAGCTGGCGCTGCTTATCCTGCGTCTTGCGCAGCGTCGTCCGATGGCCCTTCAGTTTGCTGGCGAGCGCCAAGGCCTTCTCGCGATTGTGCTGCGTCAGATGCAGTTCGGTGTGATAATTATAGCGCAGCTTCTTCAGCTCATTGTTACGTTCTGCATGGGCAGGTGGCGGCGGGGGGTGGGATAGGAATGATGCTGAGATCGATTAGAAGTATCGGGCTTCTAACTTACCTTCGATTTTTTTGTCCAATGCTACTACTTGATTTTGAATGCTTATAAAGTCGTCCATGCAGAGTTCCTCGTTAATCGTTTCCAGCTTGTGTATTTTCTGCAAATATACTCGAAAGCTATAATATTATAGGCAAGCAAGCAAGAGACTCTAGTCGGGAGCTCTCGACTAGGGGATACCCGGAACTCTCTGCTTCCAACACCGCCTCTACTCAACAGCCACACCAATAATTGAGTAATATTGAGAAAAGAACCAATTAAAATAGCAGCACAGATAGTGTGTACATGTTTACAGAAATTCTTGCAATTTGCGCTAGCTGCCGAGGCAAGTCAAAACACATTTCCTTTAATAACTTTTGTGTTTCTTAGCCGATCTTAATGAAATTTTCTATAGAACATCTTATAGTGCTATAGAATAGAATTAAAAAGTCAATTGCACCGACTCGGCAGTGCAAAGGGCTTTTCTATCTAAATTCCAGAGTTAATTAGCTTAGGAAACTATCAAAGATCTGATTCGATATGTATAAAGGTTAAAAGATAGGGTATATGCGATACGTACATCAACGATGCGACCCAGTGTATGCTTCCTGGTGATGAGAAAGAGACGCGTATCGCTGACCTCGTTGCGTTTCTGGCTCATGAGACGCAGTTCACGTTCGACGAACCGTTTCAGGAAATCCGATTTATTGGTGCCCAGCGTACGCATAATGACCTCCTCCAGATGCTCTTCGGTGTATCTGACAATGTTCTGGATATAGGAGAGATCCATCAATACGCTGGACATGAGAATGGCGTTCTTCCTCTTAGTGTCGGCTGCGACCAGAACGCGGTGATCCAACTGTGTGAGGGCCTCCTGATAGCGGAATCGCTCTTTGGGTTTGATTTGCGGATCCAGGCTGTGGAATGCTCGAAAGTTTTTCATGCGCTTGTAATAATCGGCCATTTTGGTATTGAGATAAACGTTGAGCTCCTTCTCAAAGGCATACTTATTTTTGACATCTATTAAGGTCTTCATCAGCTTATCCTTATCCATTTTATTTCGGAGCATTGCGGTAGCATTAAGATTTTCCATATCGTTGACCACATTATTGAACATGTCGTATAGAAAATCCATTGTTATCTGAGCTATATCCCGTTTATGTTTCTTGGCCTCGATCTCATCGGGATCCTCGAAAACGGATTCATCGTGTATAAAACTGGTATGGAATTTAACAAATGCGTCCAAATCGTCGTCATCCTTCAGCTCGACATGCTTGATGTCCTTAAAGTCGGGAAAATCAGTATCCATAAAGTCCACGTCAAGCTCATCACTTTCGCCGCCCAAATCAAGGGCCAGATCATCCATTTTGCTGCTCTCGGTTGACGACTCGCTGGTCGTCGACTCGCTCTCGAGATTCCCGGTCAAAGGATTGACAAATTTACCAACTTCGGTTGCCGTACTGAATTGCGAAACCAGGGATTTCGATCGACGCATCTTTTGATCTTCGTGGATGGAATGCTCCTCGGATATATCGGATAATGATGGCATTTCGAAGTAGGAAAGGAAGTTCGACTTGGCCAGTACTGTGTCGCCTTGGGGTGGCTCACGCATCTCGGGCTCATCGTCGTCGTCATCGCCATCGTCTTCGGTGAAATGGTCGTCGACGTCGATCTCTTCGTCCGGCATGTTTTCCGCTGATGTTTGCTTGCCGGAAACTTCCGGTACCTCATCATCTGCGGTTCGTAGAGCCTCTCTAGACTCGGTTACCTCACCCTCCATCTCGTCGTTCTGCTCCTCATCCGGATCGACGTTGGGCACAAGATCGCGTTCGCCAAGCGAAAAGCGGAAATTCATTTTCTCCTTCATGCGTGCCTTTCGTGCGGCCTTCTTCTCCTCATCCGTTTGCGGGCCGCTTTTGTCCCATTCCTCATCTGCAGTTGCTTCGGTTGCTTCATCTGCACCATCTCTGAGTGCCGCGGGCACCTCAACTTGTTGGGTATCCGGTTCCGTTTGTTGTTCTTCCCTGGGACCGTCAGGAGCTTCAGGAGCTTCAGGAGCTACAGGAACTACAGGAGCTTCAGGATCTACAGGGGCTACAGGGGCGACAGGAGCTTCAGGAGCTACAGGGGCTACAGGTGCTTCAGGAGCTACGGGAGCTACAGGGGCTACAGGAGCTTCAGGCGCTTCAGGAACTTCCTTTGCTACAGCCAACTCCCTCACCTCCTGCGGATTGGTCTCGTTTACCGTGGGCCTGGCCCCGGTTCCATCTGCGGGTTTCTCTGTCTCGGTGTCCATGGAAGCAGTGTGGTTTAAGTGTGGATTAAGATTTTTGGATTTTTTTTTAAATATTTTTCTGTAGTGTTTGGCTGTTGTGTAGAACGTGTCTGTGTTATGATAAGCTTAGTTCCTAACTAACATTCAAATCTAAAGCAAATTGATTTAGACACAAACAAATCCAATTATTTATCATAATATTGCCAAAACTCGAAACATCTATATTTTATATTCAATTCTTCTAGATGGCATCTGCATACCATTATGAACAAAATTATTTTTGATTATTTAGAAATTATTACTTAAATCTATTTTGAATCTAGAAATTGACAAGAATTTTGCATAACATATATATATCTTAATTAAAGTATATTACATAAATTAAATCTAAGTAAAATGAATTTAAAGTTTTAGGCACAATTTAAGAAAATTAGGAAGAAATGCAATTTTCAGATGAAAAACAATTTATGTTGCATACTTTCGAGCGGAAAAATTTATTCAATACAACAAATCTTATTTATCAAATTTTTGCTTAATTAAGGTATTCATTACAAATCGAATCTACGCAAAATCAATCCAAATTTAAGCAGAAATTAATTCAGCGCACGCCTCGGGCAAGGCGAAAAAAATCTTAAATCAACTGCGGCTCATTCTTTGCCTAAGCAAATCTTTGCCGCTTTAAAGTTGATTGATGGCTTTGGCAAACTTATGACATTGATAAATTTTTAATAAATATATATCTAAAAAGAAAGAAGCCGAAAAACAACAAGAACACAAAAATGTGTAGGGGAAAACAAGAATTTGAACGAGCCAAATATTGTGTTTGGGACATCAGGTGCCCGTTGATTTGCATAAAATGTTGCAGTGCGCGTTGCCGCCAACCGAACAAATCGCAATTTACATAAAAAATATACGTAAACTGCAATGTTTTTACATTTTTTTGGAGCAGTTGCCAGTTTGTTATCTTGGGCTTGGCTCGGCTTATCCAAACAAAATAGCTGAACAGCATGTGATTTGGACAGAAAGATACTTTATAGCCACAAGTTGGGTCTGGCTTGCAGAACAACCCAAAAGTAGGTATATATATGAAAATGGAACATGGAACATGATGAAGTAATTCTTCACTCCGAGTTCAACTATTTTAATCGTATAGTAAGGTTCTTAATAAAGGAAGCCTAACAGAAGCCTAGCGAACATTAACTTCTATTTGGCATTCGAAATAGACCTTAACGCATTTAAACAGCAAAAAGTTTTTGCATAGGAACATTGGAAGTGAAACATGAAAGTGAAACATATATCATAAAATAATGATTCCCCCTTCCGCATTGTTATATCCAAATCATTTCATAAAGTTCTTTATAAAGTAAGTTTAACAAAGATTTGTGCTTATACTTAAGTAATCAAATTGGAATTCGGAACAGACCTAAGCACTGCAAACTTAACTAAACAAAAAATAAACTGAAGTAAATAAAAACTTGGCTCAAGCTGTAAACCAATATACCTGTTAACCCTTTTATGGCAGCCAGGGTATAGACAGCGAGGCGTAAATATATATAAATTGTAAATTCACTTAAATTATGCAGTGGCTCAACATTTCAGTTCGTTTGGTTATGTTTCATTTCGTTTCATTTCATTCCGTTTCGTTTCGCCTCGTCACTTGGCCTTTTGATGTGCTCCAACTTGAGGCAAATGGAATATGCAAGCGCCCAACGGGGAATCAAATTCAATCAGCCTTTTGCTATGAATCTACTTATTTTTTTCTGTAAGAGCAGCCAAAGACTTCTGGCAGCCACTGTAAGACTGTAAGACTTCAAATATTTGCTTTTAATTTCGTCGGCGACACCTTTTCTCGCCTTTTCACTCTTATCGCTGAGCTCGTCTTTTATATTGCCTTCAGTCTAGTCCAGTTTAAATGCTGCCCAAAAGGGCGTAAAGTCGCAAGTGTCAGCTAAATGCTCGAGGATAAGTGAGCGCCAAATTGTGCTCCATAATGCCGTTAAGATACTTTGCAATCTCAAAGATACTTTAACACTTGTACATTTCGGTTTTCGGTTCGCTTTTGTTGAGCATGCCGCTCACGTCAGGCAAATCCTTTTCTTTTTTACTGTAGGAGGAGTCGGTTGAGGGGGGGAGGGAGGGGGGGGGGTGGTTGGCGGCGCTTTTCTTTATCTCTGCCGCCGTCGCCGCTGCGGATTAAACGGCATTTGCGTCTTGGGCCAGGTCAACGTCTGCCGCACTAAACAAAATTCATACGCACCGTGGTACAAACCTATTTACTTTGATTGATTTTCAATCAAAACATGTATAAATAAAAAATGTAGAGTATCTATATATATATATTTTTGTTGTTTTTCATGCTTTTCATGTTGTTTTTCGTGTGTGTGTGTGTGTTTATTTAGTTTTTCGCGTCTCGTCGATAATCGCCAATTGCGCGTTCAGTTTGTTTAGCTTGATCTTTGCTGATCTGCGTTATCAATTTCATAGAGCAGCAGCTCAATTTGTATTTATTATGCAAGTCAAGCTTGAGAATTTTGCACACAGCCAGCGGGCAGTACGCCCAAGTAAATTGCGCATTCCGAATTATGAATAAGATCGTATAGTTATGCTGCGATTGCCGACGCTTAAATGCCCTTTTCTATATATATTTTATGCTATTATAATAATACTAATAAAAATATTAATTCAAATAATTATTATTATTATCAATATTATTATAATAATAATTTTATTATTGTTATTATTAGTGTCATTATCAATCTTATTAATATTATTATTATTATTGTTATTATTAATATCAATATTATTATTATTATTTATATCAATATTATTATTATTATTTTTCTTATTTTTATTATTGTTAGGGTCATTATTATTATTATGGTTATTATCATTCCAATTGTTATTATTATAATTATTATTATTATTATTATTATTATTGTTATTATTATTATTATTATTATTATTGCTATTATTATTATTATTATTAGTAATACTATTGTTATTATTAGTAATATTATTATTATTATTATTAATATTGTTTATTTTTATTATTAATAATATTGTTACTATTATTATTATTATTATTAGTAATATTATTATTTTTATAATTATTTTTATTATTATTATTATTATTATTAATATTGTTATTATTATTATTAATATTGTTTAAATATTATAATAATAATTATTAATATTGTTGTTGTTATTATTATTATTTCTAATATTTTTAATACTATCTTTTCATTATAATATTATATTATTATATTAATACAGATAGATCATGATAACATATCCTAAGGTCTTCTAGACAAAGATACCAAGTTTTATTCAATATAAATTAAAAAAAATGAAATAAGAACTTTAACTTGCAGCACAGTAGAAGATATGGTCAAATGGACTCCACTTGTACCTATATATAATATATATACTTATATACAGTCCTATATATACTTATACTTATACTAATTAGAGTCGGAATTGGCTTCTGTAATGCGTAACATATTTCGTCAGACAATTAAAGCAATTTTCTGCGAATCGTATTCTCAATGCGTTACATGTTTCATCTCAGTCCTAAGGTGCCTGTCTGTAGTGTATCAGAATACAATTTTTATGCGAAATCGTGCTGTGCAAGCAAAGTAAAGCCTGAAATTCTCGATATGGATTCGGTCTTTCTCTGTCGCTGTCAGCTGCATAGGTTGCAGCTCGGCTGGCAAATCGATGCTGCTTTAATTGGAATGGCTGGCACTGACACAGGCGGGGACTGTGGCTATCAACAACAAGTGGCAAATCAGAAGTCTACAATGTGATAATAAGTAAGGCGGCAGGGTTCATAAGAAACAGTCGGAGGCAGCGCGAGTCAGTTGAGGAGCACGAGTCGCAGCGCGAACAACAGCCAAACACAACACACACACAACACACACAATTCCAAAAGGATTAACTAACTAGCAGAAGCGAACTCTTAACAAGATGCATTCATGGCTGCTTATGACAATGTTGGCGGCGACGCTGATGCTAACTGTGGCATGGGCTAAGCCTTTGGGTCTGGACGATCTCCAGGAGACGGGGCAGACCGATGAGCAGCTGCTCAAGTTGCTGGGCGGGCACAGCTTGGAGGAGGACGGTTCAGTCAGTGTGGAGAATGTGCGTCTGCATCGCTCAGTGCTCGATGCCAGAGTATTGTCTAACGCTGAGTTTGAAAAAGCTATCCATGATTTTTTGTATGAAAAGCAGCAGAACAATGAAGTCAGTTTATCAGAGGAGAAGATGCAAATACGTAGGAGGCGAGCAGCTGGCGAAGATTCAAGCGGCTCATCTGAGGAGGGCGCCAAAGCAAAGAAGCAGCAGCCGGAGAAGCAGCAGCAGGCAAAGACTAACAGCTCATCAGAGGAGACGCCGGATGCCAAGCAACAGTCGGAGAAGCAGCAGCAGGAAAAGGAAGACAGCTCGTCAGAGGAGAAGCCCCAAGCACGCAAGAGCCGATCAGCTGGTGAGGATTCAAGCAGCTCATCCGAAGAAGATGGCCAGGGGCAGGAGCCGAAGAAGAAGCCTGAGGCACAGCCTGAGGCACAGCCCGAGCCACAGCCCGAGCCACAGCCAGAGGCACAGCCAGAGCCGCTTCCCGAGCCGCAGCCTGAGTCACAGCCAGAGCCGCTTCCCGAGCCACAGCCAGAAGCACAGCCAGAGCAGCTTCCCGAGTCACAGCCTGAGGCACAGCCAGAGTCACAGCCCGAGCAGGAGCAGGCGGCTCAGACGACGCGTCGCCGGCGTGCGGCGATGCCGGAAACTGACAGCCAGCTGCTGGAACATCTGGAACCAGTCCACAGTATTGACCAGCTGGAGCAGTTGGGCGAAGCAAGCGATTCACTCAACATGGAGGACTATGCACAGGGCTGTGAGGTGCTCGAGGTGGACTCCAACGAGGTCAACAATGAGACCACCTACGTGGAGTAGCCTCCTATTCAATAATCGTATTCTTTAAACTAGCAAATAATAAAAAACAACCAAACAAATATTCAAAATATGCCGATTGTTTGTTATCGCAGCTCGTGACGTCATCAGCCTCATTGTTGTTGTTGTTCTTGTTGTTGTTGTTGCAGCTGTCACCTTTGGCCGTCCTTCATCAAGACATGGGCTGGAGGCTGTGGGCGGGCGAGGTGCGTCCGGCTGATAAGGAGTCGCTGTCTGGATTGTTGTCTGTTTTTTGTTATATTCATTTTTGATGTCAGCCGAGAATTTCGCACTCGATTTGAACTTTTGGGGCTTATTGAAGAGTTTCCAAAGCAGCTTTTCCCATAGGTAAAAAAAGCGAAAAGCTGTGAAAACTTTTCCACGAAGCCTTGAAATCGAGTGCAAGGACTCTGGGACAAGTTTGAAGGACTTTCACATATATGACACATATGTAAATGAGAGAGAAAGCAACTGATTATGTATATATATAGAATGTTTATATTTAGCAAATGTTGACGACTACAAACTATTTAAAAGCTCTATAAAAAATAACTTAATATTGATTTAAGCTTAATTTCAGCCATAAAACAAGTCAAAAGTTCGGTTAATAATTAATCAAAAGTAATTCGAGTAATAAAGATAAAGATAACATTCATTAAAACCTAGTTTTATCAAAGATCGATTATATCTAATCGATAATTGATAAAAGTGCATGTTATCGATAAACAATGTAAATCGAAAAAAAATGCATAAAGCATTCTTATCAAAAAAATATGAATACAAATAATGCATAATTAATAAATAAATTATGAAATAAACTAACAAAATGGGACTCTATTCTATTTTAAGGAAAATTTACCTGATGACTGATTATGAAAATTACTAAAATATTTTTTTTGATTTATCAAATTTTTAAAATAATTCGTATTTACGTTTTAAATGAACACCCGGCATTTAGTTTTATCTCTTTAATTCCTATAGCTGCAAACATTTCAATCGATAAATCGTTTCACGTGTCGCACAAATGTCAATTGCTATTATTCCGAGAATTATAAATAACGTATTTTGATGATATTTCCCGTGGTTCGTTTTTCAGGCTAACCTTTTGACATTAACCAGATAAGCGGCACACTTTTGAATAACGAATATTGAGTTCATGTCAAAATAATCATCAGCGCGTAAACAAAATACGCGAATAATACCCAATTACGTGTTTCGCTAATGAGACAATGTACCTTACCAAGAAAAATGTCAAACAATATCATTAAAATCAAACGCAAAAGCAGTGCACGCGCAACTTATTTATAAACATACTTGGAATATATTTACTATGAAAAAATAAGAGGAATTGCAACTGGATGCAAACAATGTGCTGTCAGCTAAATAAAAACTGACAACAAAATAGCAGCAACAATTTGGCGAGTGAGGGAAACATTTCACGGACCTATCCCAATGCCCAGCACAGAGAAACCAAAAATAACGGATCAAGAAAACGTACAAAGAATGATATGCAAGCGGTTAACGACTGCGATATACCCGATACGTACAAAAATATCTTAAGTATAGCTATAAAAAACTTAAATTCTTTTTTATATTTGAATATTTATTTTCTTAAGATTTGTTTAATATAGTTCTCTATATAGTTGAGACCGTAAGTTAGAGCCTGGATCAAAGGTGTATCGGGTTTGTAACCGGTTCATAAGCAGAAAATCTATAGCAGTCTTCCCTTCGGCACATACGATTTGTTTGCTTTTAGATTTGCTTGAGCAGAAATCCATCCATTTTTATAGCTAGACCCAAGTTGTATCGGGCTTTCAATCGGTTAACCGTTGGTATTCAACTTAATAATTGTCGAGCTGTTACCGGTTGATAACCGATTAATAACCGGTTCATAAATGATTCCAATTGAACTTAAAACAATAAAAGTCTTAGTTGTACACAAGTTGTATCGGGCTTGTGACCGTTTCATAACCGGTCTGCCTGCCGGCACATAACCGATTCAATTGGTAATCTGACTCGAGCTATTACCGTGTCATAACCGATTCGTAATCGGTTCATAACCGATTCACACCCGATTCATAACGGGTTCATGACTGAATCCAATTCCAGTTGAGACAAGAATTTCGTTTGCTCAAGTCAAGAATTTCATATGCAACAATTTGTTGCTTGATTTAGGAGACAGCTTCTAAGAACGGTTCTTGAGATCTTTAGCATATGTTTCCCAAGCACGAAGTATCAAGAAATCTTCATTTTATCCCAATAATATGAGAAACAGTTTCTACGAAACGCTCTTAAGATGAATTTACCATTACATTGAGTACCAAGAAATCGTAATTTGGTCCCATTTTATTATTTACTATGTAAGATTGGAGTTATAGGTAAAAACTTCTAATTGCACATACATCTATCATTTATCTACCACTTATGCTATTCGAAACTAATCTACCCCATTTGGGTTGGGGCATGAGAAAAAGCAGCAACCGTGCGGCAACTATTAAAAAAGCGAATGCACCACAAAGGCAAACTTCTCGAAATTATTTTCGCGCTTTGCCTTTTAGTTTTAGTCGCCCGAGGCGTGTGCAAACGTGTGGAAGCCAAAGAAAATTGTGGAAAAGCCCAAGGAAAACGAGCATACTCCCATTAAAAATTTGCTGTTATAATTAACACACTCATTAAATTCTGGGCGCTGCCGAAATTGGCCAAGTCATAAATCGGCAATTAGAAAATCGGCAATTAAAAGTTTCCAAACGAAATTTTGTAATCGTTTTCATTGTGCAATGTGTGAAAGCTGATTATATAAGAGACGCATTAAAGGAAAAGTCAGTGTAAAAGCATTTCCGCAAAGTCAATGCCCAGCGGAAAGTGAAAAGCCGGCAAAATACAGGAAAATTAAAAGAAAACTCAATTTCGCACGGGTTCAATTTTTTGGCAGCTGAATTTTGACAGGCAAAAAGCAAAGTAAAAGCAAAAGCAAAGGCAAAAGAAAATTCAAAAGCAAAAACTACTGCAACAAATTGTATAAAAAGCCAGACAAAGAGCGCAGATAACAAGAGCCAGAGAGAGGGAGAGAGGAAGAGCGGGGGCATAGACTTATAAATAAAACGAGCAGCCACGCAAAAAGAGCAGCAACAAGAAGAGAGAGAGAGAGAGAGAGGGCAAAAGAAACATAAACAAACAAAGGGAACAACAACAACAAGAACAAGATGCCGGAGCCTCTGGGCATGCAGTGGTCCACGCCGGAGACAAAGAAGAAGGCGCCCATTATCAAGGTATCCTGCGGCATTGGCGACACGGACGGCTATCCCGCCTTCGATGTGGAATCGGATGTTTACGATTCCAAGGATGATGAGAAATGGGGCTTTCTGATAACCGGCGGCGCCGAATTTCACATGCCCTTAACCGTCTTTCAGGTACGTAAATGGACGGAGAATTAACATAACGCCCGTTTAACTGTTTGTAGTCCCTCCCTCCCCTCCCCCCGCTCCCCCTGGGAATTCGCCCAACTGTTGCCTCCAATCATATTCCTTTCCAATTTCCTATCGAGGCTTTTGGCTGGCGCTGCGACAGCTGCAATTCTTATTTCGTCATAGCGCGTTTCTTGTTGGTCGCTGGCCAAAAGCGTTTAAGAGTGCGTAAGCTCGACTAGCAGATACTCTGTACAAAGTTGCGAGCTGCTGTTACATACATACATTTGAGCTGCACTCAATCTAGAAGCGTCTGCTCTGCTTCTTATTCAGCGAAAGGTTTGTTTTTCTTTAATATTTCGGCGTTTCTTAGTTATCGATAATAGTCAAATATTTATCGAAAACCTTAATCGATTATAGTCAAATACTTAATCGATACTTATCGATAACCTGAAAAAATTGTACTGAATTACTTAATCGATACATATCGATCACATTAATCGATCATCGTAAAATACCTAATCTATATATATCGATAAGCTTAATCGATGAAAATGAAATACATAATCGATACTTATCGATAATCTTTAACCAAGTCTCTATTGACTCTGCTACGGAAAAGTCTCCCTCTGCCTGTTACATTCGTTTTTCCAACACCATAATACCCCGTTTTCACCCATTTTCCACGCGTACAGGGTATGGAAAATAAACACAAACAAACATTTTCGTATATGTCGAGTTTTTCGACTATGACGAAATCAGCAAAAAGAATATTTCACTTTGCCGGCGCTCGTGCGATGGGGCGTATGAGCGACAATTGCCGTGCAGCTGATGACAAAAGACAAAAGGGAAGGGGAGGGGGGGGGGCAGCGGGGTGGGCGGGGCAGCATTCGTTCTCGTTTCAATTGTTTTTACTCTTGAGCTGGGGGGAAATTTACAATATTTGGGTTAAAAGTGTTTCTGCCTAAGTATTTCTATGTATTGCATTCGGTTTTGACGTCTGGCAAAAATATAAATTGTTATTTTTTTGGGCCGCTGCGCATACGCTACATTAGTGGGGCATAGACGAAGTTGTGTGCAGTTTGTGAACGATATCAAAAATGTAGACTATAGTAGGGGAATAGATAGATATGATTTGTGGATTGGGGAGGATTTAGTTATTTAAATAATAAATTAAAGAAATATTATTTATACTAAATATTGAAAAAGAAAAAGGTCGCCAAAAGCAGAATTAAAAAAGATTAAATACATTTGAACAACAATTTTATTGATCTTTGTTGGAAGTTTTTAAAGTTTTAAGTAGTTCTTCGATATATATTATAGCATAGGGAAAATTAAAAAGGAATAAACATAACTCAAGATATTCTAGCAACAATAGATAAATAAAATAAACTAAAATTAAATACAAAAAAATATAATGAATTCTCAGGTTATCTGAAGCCTATTAATTCTGAAACTAAATACCTTTTTTAATTTTAATAATAGGTTATAAGTTTTTCCGTCCTCCCAGTTTTATCGATAAACGTGCCCGAGTAGCGCAGCCAACTTCAAGCTGATCGCTGCTTTTACTATTTAGGATTATAATAAGGCTATTCCTGAATTCCAAAGCGATAAATCAAATATAAATTTAACAATTTAAATTTAGTAAGATTTTAGATTCCATCTGAATGAATTAAGGCTAAATTCAAAAGGGAAATTACTAGAAAATAATTATGCATATTTTAATTTGTTAATGGGCATAACTGGAAGATAATTAAGCTGTTCTTTATTTTTATAATATGCTATATATAGGCAAGTAATAACAATTTAAATAGACCTAATTATCTTCCAGTTATTCGAAATTATTTCCAAAAGAGCATATGTAGTAATATCTTAACCCATATGCTCTACAGTTCTGCTGTAGCGCACACTCAACGCAGACAAATTTGAGATACATGCAACAAGTATCTCATTGTGTGTTTTGGGAGCAGACTTACAGCTAAATACATATATCTATAGACGATTTTGCAGCCATCTGAAGCTGTCTGTCATATATCATATGTATATATATAGTATATATAGTTTTTGTTCGACCTAAACTCGAACTACGCAACATTTGTCGAGCAATTGCGCGTTGACTGTTGCCTCGAGCGGTACGTGAAAGCGAAAGTTGAGCGATTTTACAGGATATCTATAGTATGTATATAGCTTATTGATATGTCTAAAGAGTAAATGCTGTCTCTATGCAGGTAACGCCCAATGGTATAGCCGACAAATCGGGCGTACGTCTGGGCGATATAATACTCGAGATTAACGAAGAGGACGCCACGCAGCTGACACTGGCCCAGGCACACGAACGGATCAACGCGACGCCCAAGAAGGTGCACTTTCTCATGCGCAAGTAGGTCGCCCCACCTGGCCATAAATACCCTAGAAATATATATATATATGTTATGTAATCCGCACAGCATGGAGGAGGACGATGCCATGGGCATGTACGAGGCCGGCGAGGAGAAGTCCATTGTGATGCGTGTGCCCAAGCCGATGCCGCCGCCAAAGGGTAAGTTTCGGAGCAGTTGCTCCGCCCGCGAGTATGTCCCCAATATATGCATTACCAATCGCCCCGCCCCACCCCGCACTCCACCCCTAAGGCCACGCCCGGCATGATTTGGTGTGATCACAAGAATTTGGTTGTATATATCTTTTGTAGACTTCACCCCGACCCCATTGCTTGGCTCGCGCTGTTGGCATCCCATTATGTGGCATGAGCCGCCCGAGCCGCCCAAGCCAAAGAAAAAGAAAACGAAAACCCAAATCGATGAGGAGGGCAACGAGTTGATCATTGAATTGAGCGAGGATGAGTCCTCCGACGAGGAGGATCAGGTGATTGATCAATGCCAAATCAATTCAATTGACATATTCCAGCTAATAAACAACTCTCGCCACGCAGGAGCTGCCCCATCATCGCATTATACGGAATATTAAACGCTTCTTTGCGGAGGTCGGCGACAATCAGGAGCTGCGCAGCAGCACCATCGAGAACATGCTGCTGGCCCTGCCCACAGCATCCAAGTCCAAGTGATGGCCGCAACCCCCAAGCCGTAATCCCCAAGCCGTAATCCCTATCCAAGCCAATTAACCCAGCTTTGAATTCGTGTACATAAATCTTAAGCTGTATTTGCATCTGTATTTGTCTTTGTCTCTGTGTGCGTGTGTGTGTGTTTGTATTTGCAATAAAATCATATGCCATATAAAGCCTGTCTCTGTGTCATCGCTTGCTTCTCGTGCAGGCCGCGTGCTGCCCAGCTCCATTGAGCTGCGCCTGCTGGAAATGCAGCGCAAATTGTCGGCCATTGCGGAAATACCAAAAATCTTAAGCTCTACGCTGGCCACCGTCTCCCAATCCTTTGGCAGCCTCAGCGTCGACGAGGACGAGCAGCAGCAGCTGCGCCACATGCAGCGCAAGTGCTCCTACGATGAGGATGCGCTCGACTATGAGCTGCTCGAGCAGCTGGCCAGCGGGGATGAGGAGACGGACGAGGAGGATGTGGAGGAAGAGGAGGATGATGAGGAGGATGCGGAGCAGGAGGATGATCTGGTGCAGGTGCCGCCGGATGACGATGTAGCCAAGCAGCTAAAGGATTTGACGCCCGAATCGGATTATGCATCGGAAGTCAATTATGCGACAAATGAGCTGAGTGATGAGCCAGACAATGACAATGACAATGACAAGGAGATGGAGATGGAGAATGATGATGACTTGGCAGCTCACAAGACCGTTTACTATATGAAACTGCCTGCCGTGGCCTCCAGTGAAGAGGAGGATGATGGGGATAATGAGGAGGACGAGGATGACAGCGATTTCCTAAGCACCACTTATACGTGGAATCTGCGTAATGTGCCCAAGGTGCGCATAAACGAGGGCGATGTCAGCCCGCAGCTGGAGCTGAAGCCGGAGAATGCGATTGACACCTCAAAGGTGCGCGCTGCGACGCCAACGCCAACGCCCACGGCCATGCCCACCGGCACGCCCACTTGCAAGCTTGAGGCGCCCGTGGAGGCAACAATAGCATCGCCAACGGAGTCACAAAAGGTAAAAGCAATCAATGCGGCGCCTCATTAGCGGCACACACACACACACACACCTGAACACACACATGCACACACCTGCACACGCACGCTTTTGACATTGTCACCTTTTGTTGCAGCTGCTTTTCAAGCTGGATAACCTGGAGCGCAGCTGGCCCTGGGCGGATCGTGAGAAAATCATCTACAAGTGAGTTGCCAGCCCCGGCCAATTTATGTCGATTTACTAATGTGTTTTTTTTCTGATACTCGCTCACAAAAGTGCCAAAGGGTATATTGGTTTTTGTTAAATACCGGCCATGATATCCGTCTACGAGAGTTGCTAGTCATTCGTCATCTTCGGTCGTCTACCTGATCGTCTATCTCTTTCTCCGTCCAACCTTTTACGTCTGTCCGTCCGCTTATTGAGTTTCCCTACGTGTTTCCATCAATTCTTCCGTCTGTCCGTACATCCATTCGTCCGTCCGTTCGGTCGCCCTTTAATTAATCCGTCCGTTCGTATGATTCTCTATCATTTTTGTGTTCTTTCCTCCGCTCATAAAGCTATCCAGCTGTCCGTCTATCCATTCGCCCGCCCTTCAAATTATTCGACTGTCCGTCCGTCTAAATATCTGTCCGTCCGTTACTCCGTCTGTGCGCTTTCCTTTTGAATTATCCGAATGGCCGTCATCTCGTTTGTCAGCCCTTTCAATTTTTTAGTCCATCCGTCAAATCGTACGCTCCGTACGCCCATTTATCCGTATGTCTATTTTCGTCCGTACTTATGTCTCTCCGCTCTTTTGTCTAGCTATCCATCTGTCCGGGCTTTCGTTTGTCTGCCCGTCTCTCCGACATGCTATCCGTCCGTGGCCTGTTATTTGCCTGTGAACGAGTATTACGCAGTCGCTTATACCCGACTGCCACGCTCATACTTGCTTTATGTACATGTGTTTTTTTTCTTGGCAGGCAATCAACTTGTCATCTGGTGCCGCGTAAGCCCTTGGGAATCGTTGGGCAGCGCATCCAGCTGCTGGCCAAACAGGAGCTGCTGCACAAGGATAAGACGCAATAGTCGGGCACATCGGCAGCTCCTCGCTTAGGCATCCCATCGTCTGTCTGGCTGCAGCTGGCAGCCAGCCAACTTTTAATAGAGTTCATTATGCAAAATGCGTCAGAGGCAAAGCAAAAAAAAAACTACTTTTAACAGAAGCCGCACAGGGTGAAGGGGCAACTTTTACACTCACTTACATGTGTTCTCCGCCTGCCTTTGAAGCTTATAGTTTTTGTTTTTTGTGCCTTTTTTAATTAGTAACTGCGCTCTTAATCTCTACTTAATATGCTAATCATCATTTTTTTCAACTTGATTTCACTTTATTTCTCTTAAACTCTTTCACATGTTTTTTTTTCCACTGTTTTGTGAATTTTGCAAATTAGTTTTTCTTGGAAAAAAAGTTTAAATTAGAATTTAATTCATATAAAATTTGTCAGAAAAATTAAAAATGCACTTTTGTACAAGTCGTAATTTAATAAAACACCTTTAAACTATAAAAATATATTTCTATAAATTTAATATTTAATATTTTAACGAATTTAACGTACTTAGGGCTCCTACAGAAGCGATCGTACAAATAATTAGTACATTGTACTAAAAGCTTAGCAATTAAAAGCTTTACAAGCTCAGATAAAATGTGTGTTGGCTGCATTTAGTACAATTGCACGGATAACTGCACTCAGCGAGAGCAATTATCCGGAGAGTGGATATTGTGGCTGCTGTGAGCGTGGACGATAATTTATCCATACACTGTTGACTCTGCGGATACCATGCTCGCTTGTGGATGCTACGAGAGGGGCTGAGGTAACGTTCTTGACCACTGCGCTCACGCCATTGGTCCTAACGCTTTTGATCCCGTTATGTTGTGGATGGCGTGAGCGCAAAAGTTTGTGCTCTTTGCTGTTGTTGTTGTCTTATTGCGAATGCCGGCTTAGCGTGGGCCCGGGCCTAATAAGGCAATTTAGTCAGTGCGCGTCTGTTTTATCGATCGGTTGGATCTGCGGCGCGTGTGTATTAAATCGCTTGCTTTTAAAGTTTAATTGATATACAGTTTTTTATGCTGCGTGTGTGTTGAAGTGATTATATATATGTGTTAAACCCATTCTCCGCCTTTAAATTGATATATAATACGCGGTAAACTGTGTTAGTGTTATGCATATTTTTGCTGCAGAGCTTTTTTCACAAGTAAAAATTGGCGCGTTATCCAACGTTATCCACAATCCACGGAGAGAGAGAATGATTGAGAGGAAGAAACAGAGCTTTCTTATGCAGGTAGGCGTGCTTTGTTATATGTATAAATGTACTAAAAATAACTGTAACGCAGTTGGGAATTTTTCTTTATTTCCATTAACTGGACTAGAGTTGGGTATTTTTATACATAGTATTTATATACATATTTAAATGGGTAGATGTTCTTTATGGGAGGGAATTTAATCTCCAACAAGACAGCAAGTCTTTTAAATTTTAATATTTTGATGCAATTTTTTATCCTGATTTTTGTAATACATTTCGTTTGAAATACATTTTTGTCTACAAAAAAGTTTTTAACTGACTTAAAATATGAGTAAACTTGTCAATTCTAAGTATTTCCCTTAAATTTGTTGTATTTTGCAGCACTAGAGCTCTTTAAGAAATTTGTAAGCCTTTTCCAGTGGAATTTTTGCGCTTAAATTTTCTTTTACATTTACTTGTACGAGTGTGTGCAAAATCTGTTGTTGTTGCAGCCGTTCAAGTTGTTGTGGCATGACTGTCCGCTTGAGTCGGTCTTGAGTTGCGGGCCAAAAGGTGTCCAGTTCAGGCAGCCTTGAGAGCTCTCACAAGAGTCCTGAATCCTTTGTGAGTGCGCTGTGTTAGAGTGTTTCAAAGAAAAAGCATTTCTTTTTTTTTTTTAATTCGCTAGCTACAAATGCAATTTCCATAGCTGCCGGGGCCTGAGACTTGTCATGCACTTAACCCACGCTTGACTCACACTTTGTAGTCGAATACACACACACATACGCACACACATGCACACATATATACATACAAATATAATTGAGTCTATTTGTCTGATGAATAAAGTTTTTACTCGACTGGCACATGAGGCGTATGAGTTACGCGCTTTATAAACTGCGCGGGTGCGAATTATTTACAAAATATGAAACAGAAGTCATGAGTAAGTTGACATAGCACACATACTCACACTCTCTCTCACACACACACACACACATCGTCACACACTCTCAATTTGGGGCGCAATAAAATGGCACTTAACACGTTGCTTAACATGCATAAAACATGGACGGGCCAGCAGCTGTTGGCTGCATTTTATGTGCAACATGCGGCATGCCATGGCAACCTGCCACACAATCAGCGACATCATTAAAGCCACATCAACACAGCGCGCACGGCCAAAGGCAATGTGGCAAAACCAACGTCAACTTTTTGTACAAATAAGTTACAATAAATGTCAGACAAAACGCTAACAACTGCCAACTGCCCTCCCACCAGTTGCCCCCCGCCCCCCCTCACCCTGTTCTTGTTGTTGTTGTTGTGGTTACTGTTGCGTTGTCGACAAAATTAGCGCGGCAATAGACAAAGGACCAGCCGTCGGAATTTATCATCCCGTACAAGTACAATTCAGTATAGACCGCCGGCCTGTTGAGAGCTCGAGGGCGGCCAGTCATGAATAGAAGGCGGCAGCGTGGGCGTGGCGCTCATTGTTGGTTGGAGTTCGTTTTCATAAAATGCCAACACAAGCGCAAAAGTTGGCTAATTAACAGACATTTGGTGGCGGCTTAGTACTTAACAATACTTATCTCAATGCCAGTGTTGCAAAGTGCGCAATTCAACTTGAATGCTGAGAGTTTATAATTAACCGTGCTGTCAAATGTTTCAGAACTCAATAGAAGTAAAGTAGGTATTATTTGCCAGTGTTGCAAAGTGCTTAATGAAAGTTCTTTTAAGGGGTTTATATTTCACATACATTTATATATATTTATTTCATATACACAGATTTCGAAGCATTCATCTATAATAGCGAAAACGTAAAGCGCTTAACGTTAAAAATGTTTGAAAGCTCAGCTTACCACATATATATATATATATATATGTATATATAAATAGCCACATATGCATGATTATATAGTTATAGAGACACGTAACACTTACGACAACAATGATATTTGATATCCACATAAATTCTTAATAATCATATAATAGTTTACATTTATCAATATGTGTTCGCTGTAAACTAAAATGCTAGTTACATTTCGATTTTACAACATTTTCGCCAACTTTTGTGCAGCATACTTTTTGGGAGCGCTTTTTAGCGAGCCCAATTCTGAATTTCGCTTTGTCTGCAATTTCGCAAAAATACGCGAATTTATTGCACTCTTGTTAATGTTGTTATTAGATATCTAGCTTAAGTCTAAGAATACCTAGTTTAGTTGTAGTGCTGCAAAGGTCTTGTTTAAATCGATAGTTTATGCATTATCAATATATCGATAACATTAATAGTTTTACACATTTTCAAACGTAAAATGTATATTAAATAAATACCGGAACATTTTTAATTCGATATTTATCGATAAATGTTATGCTTAAATCGATAGTTTATGCATTATGGCTATCGATGTATCGATAACATTAATAGTTTTACACACTTTTATACATAACTTTTTGTAAATAAATATCGGAACATGTTTTTTTCGATAGTAATCGATAACTGCTTATTTTAAGTTTTGCAGCAATGTTATATATGTATATTATGATTATATTTTTAAACGTTGTCCAACACTTAGCTGCACACACATTGCACAGTTATATTTTGATTTTATGACTTTAACTGCACAAAAGTTGAGCGTAAGTTTTTATTTCCTTTATTTAAGCAACTTTGCATTGATATTTGCTATAGCTTAACATTGTTTATCGGTCCGAAGGGCGGGCGACTATTTATATTTTTTGTTTTTTTTTTTTAGGTGGGGTGCATTTTCATTTGTTTTGGTTTCTAGTTTCAAGTATGGTTATCTATTTGGGCGGGTAGCATGCTTAAAATTGGCTTAGACTATGAGAATTCGTAGCAGAGTTTTGTGACTCGATTTGTGTCTGTATGTGTGTGTGTGTGTGTGTGTTGTTTAAAGCGCCTCGTCGGCAATATGCTGTTGGCCATTCGCATCGACGCTGACAATGACAACACCTACGCCGGGTGCGAGGCCTAAGCCCGATCTCGTAACTAATCCTAAACCCATGCCAGTGCCATTTCGCTGTTCAGTTGCGTTGTTTGTTGTTGTTGTTGTTGCAGTTGCAGTTGTTGTTGCTGCTTCGGCGACATCTTCTGCTATTGTCGTCATCAGCGTCGGCTTGTCCGCCTCCGCTTGCGTATCGGCTGCCATTTGCAGCTGCGAATTGCCAGCTGTTTCCTCCATAAGCGGCTGCCGCTGATGCGCATTGTCCACGCTCGGGCGCCGCAGCAAGCGCAGCTTATGGCGCCAGCCATCGATAAGGCGGGACGAGCTGCTTGTGGCGCCTGTCATGCCCAGGCTCTGGCTTCTCGCCCGCTGCTGTTGCTGCTGCGCCAGCAACTGTTGCTGCTGCTGTTGTTGTTGTTGTTGCTGCTGCTGTGGGCGATGGGGCGCTGAGGAGGCGCGTCGCTTGGCCGATGCCGACAAGTCCTTTAGTCATACCTTCTCCTCGCCAGGCACTGGCGGACCGCAGCGCACGAACTACAATCAAAAGAACTGAGAATATGCTATCATGGTGGCAGGTTGGAAAACGGTGCGCTGCATTTTAAACGGTTCGCTGTGTGTGTGTGCCAGTGTGTGTGTGTCGTGTGTGTGAGTGTATGTGAGTGTGCCTTAACATGCGTTTAACAGCAGGAAAACACAGAGTTAGTGAATGGGTGTGTGTCTAGGCTAATTGTGCGTGTGTGTGTGTCTCAGCTAATATTTGTTTTCTTTTTTTTTTTCAAGGCCAATATTGCATGTGTATTTGTATTTGTGTCTGTTATTGCATTCATTAGCTTGCATTAATCATACGCGCCGTAACCCGAGCTGTTATAATCTTCGAAGAAAAAGGCAAAAGCATGTGAAGCTTCATAAGAAATCTTACCGAGACCTGAGTGGCTGTATAGGAGTTGGTCCTGGGTCGATTGCTGAAGCAGACTGTGCGCCATTTGCGCTTCACTTGGGCAATCACCTCGCCATTGAAGAAGCAGAACAATGTGGCCACGCACAAGCCCTGCCAGAAAAAAGAAAAAGCATATATAATTAATGTTTATTTGGGCGAGGTTGTGCAAGTGGCAAGTGTCAGCCAATTATGTTTATGTCCGACCAAAAGGCTGGCCAAGTCTAATGCAATTTTGTTTATTTTCCATATTTGGGGCCAGCCTCAACAGTTCCAACCAATTCATTTGACGCAGCTGTATTTGTGCCCTCCAAATGTATCTGTATCTGTGCCTCGTATCTGTCAGTTGTCAGTTGGCTTCTGCCTGAGCTCGAGATGTTTGTCATTTGTCTAGAATAAATTGTGGCTGTGCGTGGGTGCCTACCTATGCCTCTAATGCATAGTTGCGTACGTGCAGGGTCTGCTTTCGGGATTGCCTATTCACACATCGCCTGCATATAAATGAAATTGGCAAAAAGGGCTTCATTTGATTGCCAATGCACACGTCCTGGCACGCTGCCTAACTCAATCACAAACACACATACTTTAGCGTCCTGCGACTCCCACTAAATACCATGACAACATTCTCTGGCCATTTTATTTAGCTCTTGAGCTATGCAACATAGAAACTTGAAAGTTAGCAACGTTCAACTTAAACCTTAATTTCCCGAAAAGTTTTTAACCATAATTTAATTGCAAAATAATGTTGAAATAAGAGTTACATTGGATAGAATAAAAGGTATCCATAGAAACTTTTAATACGCAGTTAGCTAGAATGGACTGTATATATATATATATATATTTGCCTAGTTTTATACCCAGAATTCCTATCTGAAGTGAGTTCATGTGAATCTATGTTACCAGCTAGGTCGACTACTCATGACCTGCCTTAAGGATTGTTTTCATTTTCACTTGTTTTAATTTTAAGACTTGAAAATATAGATTCTCGTACACAAAGATTAAGCACATTTTACTTTTGGAAAAGCTCTCCCATTCCCCAATGATACAAAACTCAGGCATTTTAAAGCCAGAACCTTGCTCCTTTTTATGCACGCACATTCGGGCGTCATATGTAAGATAAGATCGGACTATAAGCACCGAAGTTAGCCAAACATCGTCTGGGACGTCATGAGGACGCAGCATCAAGCGGCATATATGCGTGTATATGTGTTTGTTTTTATTTGCATGTATATACAGAAGGAAGCTGAAATGTTTATCAGGACAACTCGGCGTTGGTTTGAGGGTATCTGCTAGTCGGGCACTCCCAACTGGAGCACCTTTTATTGACTTTAGCTGCTTTCAGCTGTGGTCCAGAACTGTCCACAGAGTAATTACTAGTCGACTCGCACTTTTGTTTGTTTTATATTCACTTTGTGTTGTATTTTGTGCTGGCTGCGCATTTATAAAGATTTTCTTCGGTTTTTGCCTATTCTCTTTTAACCGCACGGCTTTGCCTCTAATAATTTCCGCAGCTGAGCTCACTTTATGTCGGTTGAATATTATTTAGCTAGTTATTATTCAGACTGATGTTTGCCATTACTCAGCGCCGTTCCGCAGTGGTCGGGGCCCAGTTGGAGTTGGGGGCGTTGCTGCTTCGTAATACTCTGTAATAACCAGTTCTGATTGCTGCATGACATGCAGCTCTCTCTTTGAGCTGATGATTTGCTAATTACTCGAGGAGGCAAAAGTGCAAACTGTTTGCTAAACTAATTAGCAAAGTAGACAGTCAAAGTGGTAACAAATGTGCTTTCGTTTTGCCCATGTTAAGAGCATGTGACATTTACTCCAAAGTTTTCAATTCAATTTATATAAAAATAACAACAGCAGCTGCTGCCAAAGGGACTTAGGACCAGCTGTTCTATACGTTTTATATGCTCCTGTGAAGTTCTCGGCAAATATATATATATATATATTTTTTTTAAGCTTTATTGAAATTCCAGCTGCGGCATTTGATGGGTTAAGGGGAAAATATAAAAGTGCCTGACAATAAAATTAAATTAAATATTTGTTGTTGTTAGAGGACTTTGGCTCTAATTGCACTGCCTGTTCAAAGATAATATCAGCGTTTGTTGTTGATTGCATTGCATAGCTGTTCTCATAAACGTCATGAGAATTGTGTTTTTTATTTCTTTTTTTTATTTTCTGCACTGTTGACATTCAGCAAATTCCGAGGCACAAACACAGTAAGTGACATTGAGCGATGCATTTTATTTATGTGATCAACAGAGGAATTTTCGCTCGCTAGCTAAGGGCTAAAAGTAAATCTAAACGGATTTTTACAAAACAATTTTTAAATTGTGGCAGAAAATTTAAGGAACTTAAAAAACAGTAAAGAAATAATAATAATAATATTTATAATGATAATAAAATTAATAATAATGATAATAATAATAATAAGAACGATAATAATATTAATAATAATAATAATAATATTAATAATAATAGTAATAGTAACAATAATAAAAATGACAATGACAGTGGCAATGACAATGACAATGACAATGACAATGACAATGACAATGACAATGACAATGACAATGACAATGACAATGACAATGACAATGACAATGACAATGACAATGACAATGACAATGACAATGACAATGACAATGACAATGACAATGACAATGACAATGACAATGACAATGACAATGACAATGACAATGACAATGACAATGACAATGACAATGACAATGACAATGACAATGACAATGACAATGACAATGACAATGACAATGACAATGACAATGACAATGACAATGACAATGACAATGACAATGACAATGACAATGACAATGACAAAATTTCATTATAAGAACTTTATTTCTTAGTATTAGTTCAACCTAAACTCAATACATATTTCTATTTACGCAGAACACCCAACTCGGGAGCTGTGCTTGGAATTTTGCAATTTATATTTAATTTCTGGCTTACATTTTATGGCATAGTTTCATTGTTTACCCCAAAATCCCAGTAATGTAGGGACTGTGTGTTGCCTATGATAGCTATTTCGCCTTCTTGTTGTTTACTATCCACAAGAAAACGCAGATCCCGCAGTTCTCATGCTTATTTCTGCTTAGTCGCATTTGGAGTTTCGGTCCTTAGTGCAGACCCATATAAACTTAATAATATGGACTTTATGGCGCTTAAAAGTTGTACCCAATCTTTTACGAGAGTCGCGCACTGTGCAGCTGCCACAATAAATCCGAAATTATATCCGTACGGGGAGACAAAAAAAAGTGCCTCTTGCCAGTTGAAGAAAACTTTGCAATTTGCGGGGCGACAACGACAAATAAAATAATAAAAAGTTGCTGCTTACTGGCTTTAAAAACATTTGTGCAAAAGTATTTTGCTTTTGAATTTGTCACTCCAAGTTTTTTTTTGCTCTGTTTTTTGTCTGCGAACGAGTAAAGAAAAGTCACAGATAAACAGCGCATTGTGTCTTAATACCCTGGGGCGTCATCAATCGTGTAATAGGGTATCTTGCAGTTAGACAAACTTAATTTTAGGTAATATGTAATTAGTCTAAGACATATTTTAAGTATGGTTTAGGCTTTAAAGTGCGAAATTAGCCCTTATTTTAATTATAATAGAGTTATGGTGCTGCAATTTGTTATGCACTTGTGTTAAGATATCTTTTTAACATATCTCAACTAAAGTCTACATTTAAATGAAAATGTTCCAAAGATTTTTGCTTTAGTAACTCGTTGGGCTAAGCGCCAGCACGCAGAGCTCGTGCTTTAAGGTTCGAACTCCCGTACGCCCTTTTACTGTTATTTTACTGCAGTCTCTGTTCCATTTGTTGATCTTGAAGCTGTAATTCAACTGCAGCGTGTACAGCAGCCACGCCCCCAGGCGCAGCGCAGCACATGAGAATTTAGATTTATTTTTTTATGTGCAGCAACCGCAGACATTGGAATTTAGTTCGTATTTTTATACCCTTGTGGAGGGTATCTTGAATTCGTGATGAAATGTGTAACGCATGGAGGGAGACATCTGTGAGCCTCTAAATTATATATATTCTAGATCAGCAATAACAGTCGAGTTGATATAGCCATGCCCGACTGTCCGATTGTCCTTCTGTCTGTTTCTATGCATAGTTCCTCCTTCTGTTGGAGGAGGTATATATACTGCAACCGGCTGGATCGGAACACTATATCGTATAGCTGCCATAGGCACGATTATAGGAAAAGTGTGTTCGTGCTTAAAAAAGTTTTGTGGTTATCAAGATATCAGGACCATTTATTGGTTGAACTATGATACTTATATATGAAGCAAATCTTTCGAATATCGCACTTCTATATATTATAACTCAATAGAAATATTCTATATATTCTATTATATTTTCCAAGATATTTTCATCAAACTCAGCATTTACGAGCTTTACTCTATCCGCATATCTGCAAATGTCTACAAGGGTATTAACTCTTCGGCGTGTTGAAAATATCATTTCTCGTTTTTTTTTTGCCCCGACTTTTGTCGAACAGCTTTTTATAGTTTATTTGTGTTGAAACTAAAAGAGCAGCTGAAAATGAGTTGCAGCTCGATTTGGTTTTATGCGTGTGTTTTTACTTATATTCTAACTTTTATTTGTGCTCTGACTTTAAACGTTTGTCGTTGGGTTTTCGAATCAAATTTAAAAATATCCAACAAAATAACAAAGTCAAATTTTCACTCAGCGTGTTTGCATATTGATTTCAAACCCCCCCCCTCCACCCTTCAGCCCCCCGCTAAGCCAGCTGAGGCACAACTCGGTCGCAGTTAAATGAGCTGAGATTTGGCTGCTTTGGGGAGTTCTGCGAGCATGTGCCTGGCATATTAATAATTTGGCCCGCAGGGTTCAAGCATTGATATTGTTTATGGCTGATGGTTAAGGGTTGGGGGTTGGGGGTTGGGGGTTGACTTCCTCCCAATAAACAAGCTCTGACATGGACTTTGGCTTGTTAACATAAATTATGGCAAATATCTGTTGGCACAACCTGCACATTTTTGCCCAATTAAATAGGCATATTTTTTTTGCTGCTCTCAAATGAAGCTGCGCTCAAATTCCAAGCGTTTGGATTTAAGTTTAAGGCGAAGCAGCTGGGATAGAAATTTACATACACTAACAGCATAAACTGTTCAACCTGTGCGGGGCCATAAAACAATATTAAAAGCTGTCTAAAAGGTGAGCTGATGGGCTGGCAGATGCCCCGTGTTACAGGTTTAAAATTAATAAAAATAAATGCATATTAATATTCATAAAATTGAAATAAGTAGCGGGGTTAAAAAGTGAGCAAGGTGAAGAAGAAAGAGAGAAACTGATTCTGTTTAGCAGTCAAAAATTATCCCAGCTGCTTTTTAAATTATATATTGTATATATTCTTAGTAAATCCTCGATAAAATATAGATAGCAGATCTTCTTAGCACAAAAATATGTCTTTATAGATAAAATTCTAACAGACCAAGCTAAAAGTCGAGGCTAAAATGGCAATGGCAAGAAAAAAAAAAGGAATTACTTACTTGAAATGAGGCCGTAAATGCCGAGATGACTTGGTATGTATACTCCAAGGGATGCTCCTGGCCAGGACGAAACGGCGTTAACATATACTGGAGGCCGAGCAGGGGCACCAGCAGCAGCGTAGCCCTGCACAAGAGAGAGAGGGAGAGAGAGAGAGAGAGGGGGAGAGGGGGAGATAAGCGTGAGGGAGCATTGTAATAATACTTGTATTTATGTATAATTCGTTGTCGACGAGCGTTTTAAAATGCAAGTCAACGCGGCGTATGCGTAATTTAAAATGTAAAATGAAGCAACAAAAAAAAAACTTTCAAACGAATGAAAAACAACAACAGAAAAAAAGGAAGAAAAACCAGTTTATTACGCATACGGCCCGCGGGGCCAGTCGGCCTTTTGGTTTTTTGTCCGAAAATAACATATTTTTTTATTGAATTGAAGTCCGTTTTACGAACATTTTGTTGATGGGCGAACTTACCGAAATGCCTGCAGAACGGTGCGTGAGGGTCCGCAGCTGCCCTGAATGCTCGCCGGGGCGTTCAGCTTGAGCAGAACGACGCGCACAATATTGCAGAGGAACAGTAAATTGAGAAAGATTGAAATGCAGACGGGCACTATCAGAATGTAGTTGAAGTCCGTGTCGGTCATCCAGCAGCTAGAGGGGGACACAGAGAGAGGGGGAGAGAGTGTGGGGGGTTAAGTGAATCTGAGCAGATTGTCATCTAATGAATTGCAAACGAGCTGGTTTACAATTGATTTGATTTCCGTTTGCAAATCATCATCATTTTCCATATATGCGTGTGTCCACAATCAATTTAGCTAGCCACACTCACACACACTCACACACACGCACACAGATACAGTTGGCTGGCATCATGTTTATGGACTTACTGCAGATTCTGCTCCCGACTCCCAGTGAATCCACGCGCCAGTCCATAGATGCAAATCACAATGGCCGGCGAACACCAGCCGAAGGCAATCAACCATTTGACCAGCTTTTTCTCCGATATAAACGCCGCAACCAGCACCGTGTGCAAATAGAAGCCCTCGCACAGCATCCACGAATAGTTGGTCAGCAGAAAATAGTGCAGTATTATGTGCAATGCCACGCAATAGCCCTGAAAAGTTACAGTCGGACATGGTTTAGTTTTAAACAGAAAGGAGCTGCGGCATCTCGCTCTCCCTCTCTCTCACTCTCTCTTTCTCTCTTTGCTTACCGGGCTGAGCTGCACCAGCTCCGTGTTGGGCACCACCACCATATACCAAATGAGCCACAGCGAACTGTTTGCCGCAAATGAACTGAACAGATTCATGTGCAGCGTGATGCGGGCGCATTTCAAAGATCTGCAAATAAGCAACAGATATTTGATTAAATCGTGGAACGGTAGAATCTATTTGATAAGGAAAAAGACGTCAGATGTTGGGTATATTGTGGTCGATATCTAACCATGAAATTCAGTTGTTGCTTATCTATGTATATGTGGGATCTATATGATTGATGTGACAAAGAGCAAAACCTTATGAAAATCAGTTGAGTTATAAACTAGTTATGGGAGTGGGAAATTTTGACCTATGTCTATATAGGTTATTTGAGGATATCATTTTTACATGAATTTCGACCAAAAATGCCGTTGCCACGTTTTGATGCCAAATTGATCTAAGGGTCAAATCATGCACAAAAAGGCAAACTTTTTGAAAATCGGATGAGATTTGACCAAGTTATGGGGGTGGGAAATTTTGAACTATGACTATATACGATACTTGCGGGTATACCCCGAACTTCATACAAACGTTATGAGATCTATATGATCTGTATGCTCTATATGCCCTCTGTGATATATATGATCTATATACTCTATATGCTCTATATGATCTATACAAGACATATGCGAGACTAGCTGCAGGGCATCTCGAAGTCGAGCACGCTCAATTGCTGCATTCTCACTGAGTTTCCTGTGTGGTTTTAGCAAATGTTTTTTTTCAGACCAAAACTCGTTTATTTGTTTCCCCAAATATTGACATACATTTGGCAAAAAAAAAAGAAAACACGTATTTCCATTTCACACGGCAAAAAGGGGGGCTGCTAGAGAAAGGGTATAAAAAGAGGTGTTTCGGGTGTTTGCGCAAAGTTCACCCGAATGTCAACACTGACCTCAGTTCTATTGAGTTCCGTTTTCGTTTCGCTTTTGTTCAGTTCGGCTGCATTTGGCAGCTGGCCAAAGACCAAGCTGCATATTAATGAAATCTTACTGAATCTGGTGAATTAATGCATGCCATGCAAATTGTGTCCAACTCTTTGTATGCATTGTCCAGTAGTTCTTTCGAATATGTGACCGTAATGCCAACATTTTCTAGGTTTTACTACAATAATATTTAAATCTGGTTTGCTCCAAATGGATGAGCATAGATAAGTTTTAAAAAGATACATATTTAGGTTCCAAAAAGAAACATTGGAAATTGCCAAATTTTGTTCCCAATAAAGTCTTGATTGGATTTTTGCCACAGCTTTGTCTCAATTAAAGTGATTTTTGCTTTAACTGCAATACCCTGAAATTGATGCTCCATTTAAAATTTTGTTTATTCTGGAACATTTTATATATATTTTTTGTTTTTTTCTGGAAGACAAGCCGAGAATTGGTATACTTTAGCTTCTCTCTAAATATGTGTCTATCTAATTTGCTTAAAGTTCGCCTTAAATAATAGCCCATATTCAAATAGTTGGGATCATATCCAAGCAATATGCTCGTCACATTTGATGCCAAGCATTTCATTTGCCTTTTGTACACAAATTTAAAACGCTTTAGCCAAAGTTTAGCTGCCTTGTCAGGCTGTCTGTCGCTTTGTCTGAGCCGATAATAAACAAGCCAAGAGCACTAATTGTGCTGCAGACAAGTGGAAATTAATCGATATCCTGCTTGAAGAAGACACACAATTTAATGCTCAGTTGATGTGTGACACAGCAGGCAGGAGTAGGGCAGGCGGAAAGGGGGAAGAGAAAGCAAATATTTTCTCATTTCCGACGTCAAGTGTGGCGGATTAAATGGGCGCAAGTAAGTAAAAGTGCAATGAACAGACACACACACACACATGCGCAGGTCGCCAGAGCTTGATTAGAGAAGCGTTTGGGATCTTTGTTAAACAATAAAATTTGGCGCCAAGCCCCAAAGCAACCATAACGCCAACTGGGCAAATGTGGCTCATTAGCTCTGAGTGGTTTTCGATGTGGCATCAAAATGAAATAGGAAACACATGAAAGACGGATCATGCGAGTTAAATACTTGGTAGTATATTAGGCTGTCAGCGTTAAGTAATCTATATTAAGACCTTAATTAATTACACTTACTTGAAATAGCTCAAGATGGCCAGCGACAGGAGTATGGCCAGCAGCGAGATGCTGTAGCCCACCTCGTAGATCAGGCTCACGTTGTGATTACGCTGTGCAAACGAGAATTGTGCGTTAATTGTGCTGCAAGCTTATACAGAAAATGAGTCTGCTTAAAATCGTACCGCCAAATCGTCCAGATTCACGCAGGTGGTGTAATTCGACCAGGTTTTATTGGTCAGCGGATGCTTAAACCATTCCCCATCCTCGCCGCACTCCTTGTGCGCATAGCCTACGAATTAAAGTGTTTGCAATTAAATAATTTTACAATTTGATATGCCTGAATTAAGCTGAGCCATAATTAACTTTAGCTTAAATACACTAATTAAAATAAGCAAGAGTACTCTAGTGGGGAGGGTCTGACTGGGGATACTCTCCTCACATACTGAGCGTCTAATGAATCTTTCTTGACACAAAATTGAACATCCAAATCTGTGTAAATTCTAAGGCTCAAGACTATGCCTCAAATGCAACTTTTAGTGGAAATGATTAGTGATATATTTCTTGTATCTGTGTTGACTATACGAGACTATACTTAGCCAATTTGGACTCTCTAGCTCTTATAAACTTCGAGATATACTCAAAAAACAGATTTTCGATATCGATAACTTATCGATATGGTCAAAAAACTGATTTTCGAAACCGATTTCTTTTCGATTTTATGAAAAACGATCGATTATTTAAAAGAAACAAGACATGCGCGGGCAATGAAAGTACTAAGTATATAAAATGTAAATCTTAGCATAGCTCCGATATGCATACGGATAGACGGACAAGGCTAGATATATATATATATATACCTTATGGAATCGGATTTGCCTCCCTGTTACATTCCTATACACAAATCACATAATACCCTTCTTAACCGACTTTCAAAGGGCATACATTTAATTGCCCGATATAGAATTTTGTCATGGATTATGTAAAATGATATTTTAATTAGATTTTCGCTTAGCCAACTATTTGCCTGGTGCCCGCCCATAAATTGCATTTGCATTAAACTAAAACGTGGATTGCGTATACGCCACGTAATCGATTAAACCGCAGCTAATTGATTGTGTTTAAAATTTAATTGGTTGCGTTTAAAATATATCCATATATAGGTAAAGCTGCGGTCAGATGGCATTTTAATGGAAGTTAAGACTGACTAATTAATAACTTTTAGTCCACTTTTTTCTTCTATTATCAAGGCAAATCCTGACAATCTTGTACAAAAAAACGCTTATATAATAGTAACTACTTCATTGATAATAATAATAACAATGCCCCAAATAAGTTGAAATTGAAATTGGCCATAAAAATCGTTTCCATTGAAAGTTTGGAATGTCTGCAGCATGCGACAATGCCTGGCTAAGTTGAGTTATGCAATTGTCGTGCTATTGTTAAACTGTTATCGAACTTGTTGAAAGAAACGCTTGCCACACACACAAACACACACACACACACACACACTTGCAGCAGTGACAACCATTGTTGAGGCCATCGAATTGTGTTCTTGGTCAATGGGGCAAAAAACGAGCTCAGGCATTTGCCTGTTCTGTTGGGAATTTAACAGGTGAAGCGCTGTCAGCAATGCACGCTCATTCTATCCCTTTCGCACTCTCTCTCTCTCTTTTCTTCTCTTTGGGTTTTGCCACTTTATCGCCATTTGGCACGCAGCGTCGAAAAAAAATCACGTATACGCTCTGTGTGGCAAATAATCTGACAAGCAAGACAACAAAAAATGTTTGCTGCTGCTGCCACTTCTACTGCTACTTCTACTGCTACTGCCACAGCTACTGCTTCAGCTACTACTGCTGCCAGCCACATCCGCCCAAACGGAAGTGCCATAAAAGTTAATGGCGGCGCATTGCCAAAGCACATAATCTTGTACAATCTGGCGACCCCGAGGCGCTGCCGGCTGCCGCAGTCTCTGTCTCAGCCACAGGCGAGCTGCTGGCCAAAAAACGAGTCATAAGCCAAATGTGCTGTAAGCCACATTTGCTTATTGTTAAACACGACACAACCCCTGCCCCCTACCCCCGCCCCGACCCAGTCCCCCCTCTCTAGTGCTAGCCTTGTCATATTTATATATATATTATTTTTTTCCTGCCACAAATAACACACAAAAATGTCATTCAACTTTCGCTCAGACACGTCACGTTGCTGTTGCATGTTCGCAGTGGGCGTGGCCAGCCCCGTTTCATGCAACAATCGACATGCCCCACATGATTTATTGCTGCCACACAGCACTTGATTGTGAATATTTAAGCGCCTGCTGCATATGTTCTTCATAAATGTATTTAATATTTGATAAAATTTCTTGTTTTTCGCTGCATAAACAATTGCATGCAGTTTTGCATAATTCATTATTATTGTACCCAAATTCTGCGCTCTGTTGTTGTTGGCTAACAAAAACACAACCCGCGAGCCAACAACCGGGAATACGCTTGGCTAATTCACGAAGTTCTTCGTATTTGCGGTTTATGATATTCCATTCTGAATACTCTGCATATATCTATTTAATTAGCGTGTTTTTTTGCTGTTCAAATTAGGCGTGTTTTGTTTTTGATAGCGTGAAATGTGAACATTTTCATATGTTGTAAAATGTACTTTAAGCTTGTTATGGATAGCATATTTAATGCTGTGTGTGTGTGTGTTAATAGCTAATTTAATGCTGCGTGAATGTGAGGTAGATGAGTTAATAATACGATAATCGTACTAAGGCAATGCCTGCAGCTATTTTAAATACTCAAATTAATTAGTTAAGTGGGTGTTTAGTTAGTTGATTTGCTGTAAAAGTGGCTTTAGCTGGCGAACATTTATATATACATATATACATGCTGCTATTCATTATGCCCTGAACCCATTGAAAATGGGTAAAAAGGGTATTTTGTATTTGTGCAAATGTATATAACAGGCATAAGGAAGCATCTCCGACCCCATAAAGTATATATATTCTTGATCAGCATCAACAGCCGAGTCGATCTAGCCATGTCCGTCTGTCTGTCCTTCCGTCCGTATGGATCTCAGAACCTATAAGAGCTAGAGACTTGAAATTTTAGCTTAAAGGTTCTCTTAGTACCCGCGCAGATCGAGTTTGTTTCCGATATTCAGATATTACTTCGTTTCCAAGTAACCGAGAAACATCGATATCGAAATCTTTGAGCAATTTTGGTAAATAATAAGATCTAAAATCACCAAACTTGACATGTAGCTTCTAGAATTGTATATATCAATTATCTTTCATTTAATAACTACCGTACTGCAAGTTCTACTCGTCTCAACAGCGCGGGGAGAATGACTTCTGGTAATTATCTTCAGTTTAATTTCAGCATTCAATTAGGCACTCGCAATATTGAAACTATTGTTCTTTCCGTTTCTCTACTTCAGTCAGCTTTCTACCATTAGACCTAACTCAGCAGCAGAGTTTCTCTCTATCTATGCAACTGTTATGCTTTGCACTCAGTTGCAAATTCTTGCAAGTACAGACATAACGAATTATAATGTATCGCGAATGTATCACGATTATATGACGCCATAAAACTATGTGCGTGCATCTACAGTGACATACAGTAAACCATCTGGGACATATACTTAATTTACTATCTATAAATCTATAAAATAAACTTAAATTAGAAAAAATGTTGTATGTTATTAATTTTGTCTTATTAATTTATTAAAATATAAAAATGAGTCAAGAAAAATATCCTTAAATATAATTAAATCTAAATCAATTATTAATATTGATAACATTTGCCTACAACTGTCAAATAATTGAATACCCTGTAATTCAATAATTTACTTTGAGCGAATTTCTATCAAATATAATTCCAATAAATATTTTACTTTACATTCTACGCATTTCTTTCTAATTTTCAAAATATTTTCGCATTACAAAATCAACTCTGACTTATGAAAATTAACTTCGAAAGCTTTTCGGTGTTAAATTGTTTTATTAAAATAATTCAATATTTAAGTGGCACTTGTCTCAGCGGCATTTGCGCCAGTTTCTGGCCTTTATTTGACTTTGTTTTGTGGCTGAGTATTAGTTGGTGTATTTTACAAGAACTTGACTGAAGAGCTTGCACAAATTACTTTGAAAGACTTGAAAACTTGAACAATGCTCCGCTATAAGTTGTTTGTTTTTCGCTTTTCTTCCGTTTGGTTTTTTTCTCTCTCTCATAAGAAACATATTTCGAACGAAACTTCAGTTATTGATTTCCACCTGACGAAAAAACAGCCAGCCGCAACAGCTTTTGCGGCTCACAGGCACTCGACTGGCAAATATGTACACATATTTTCAAGAAGCAGAAAAGAAAATACAACAGCAAAATAAGCAGCTGAAAAGCGGCAGCTTTATGCCCGAGCAGACATGATGTCTATGCATGTGTGTGTGTGTGTGTGTGTACTTAAATCAAAGCTTAAAAGAAATTGATTTGTACGCGGTTTTTAAAAGCTGTTAAGGGATTATTTAAGAAAAGAAAAAAAAACATATGCTTTAATTCAAACGGAAACGGAAATGCGGCCTAAAGCTCGCCCACGCACAGGGAATGCGGCCAATTAGCAAACCAGGTGGGGTTTGCTTTGCGGTTTATTTATGCATGTGTGAGTACGCTGTGTACATGTGTGCTGTATGTGTGTGCCTGCTCGAGGCATTTCCGTTTCCGTTCCATTGTAATCTTGTGCCTGACATTTGAGTGCGTTGCTTATTTGTTTAATAAATTCCGTTTGATATTTGGCCTCTCGTTTGGCCTGCTTGTCAAAATCAGAACTGGCCAAAAGCGAATGCTGCTTTGTGGCAGTCAATACACAACAACAACAACAACAAAATTGAAAACAAACAAAATTGCGGCACTTACGCGCCGGATCAAAGCCGGTGATGAAGTCCGGGCACAGCTCATAGGCGGAAGTGCCGGCGGCCGTGTCGGGCCAACAGAGCCAGCCATCAAAAGTGCCAGCACAGAAGGAACCTAAAGAGGCGAGGCGAGGCGAGTTTATAAGCGAATTGTAGACTGTGGCATGCGGCATGCGGCATGTACGTTTACCTGTCAGCTGGTGGCTGCAGTTCAAACGCGCGTTGCACGCGGCGCGAAGTGCATCAAAATCGGGTCCACTTTCGGCGGCAATATGCAAGCTGCCGCTGCCGCTGCCGCTGCCGCTGCTGCTGCTGCTGCTGCTGCTGTTGGTGGTCTGCTCAGCCATGGCGCGGCTGCTGTATTCAACGAAAACAGTGCTGCAAAACGAAGCAAAAATGTTGCAATTAGTTTTCGGTGCCACATGCTGGCTTTTAATATGGCTTTTTGGGCCAGCTCCAAAATCTAGGCAAGCCTTTTATAACTTTCAAGTGCATATAAATATGCGCGCACATATATGTGTGCGTGTGTGTGTGTGTGTGCGTGTGCTGCTCACGCTTCATTGCATGCGCGCATATTTTTGTGTTTTACAGTTCGTTTGAGCCGCATTTTAATTGGTTTTGCGGCCAGTTCAGAACGACGAGTGTGTGTGTAGGTGTGTGGGTGTATGGATGTGTGTGTGTGTGCTTAACGTATGCACAATTTATTCATTTTGTTATTTTAATGCGTTTTCCTTATACAGTCGAGCGTTTTAATTGAAGCACCCAAAAGTATGCAATTAATTTTTATGGCAGCTTACGAAATGTTTATAGCAAATGTGCAACCATAAATTAAATATATTTAAATGGCATTCGGAATGCATAGTAAATAGAACATAAAAGTAGTTAGCAATTCGGTTTAGTTTATGTGGACTCAAGACATTTGGCACTGCGAATTTAGGTACAAAAGTTCACTTGCTTTGTATTTTCTTTAATATGTAAGTCGTAGTTAATTAATAGGAAATATGCTATAATTATTAGCTAGTCTATTCAATATAATTTGCCCAAGTCTCGTTATGTCTACAAAATATTAAAACAAATTAAAGAAGACATTTAAACTTGTAACTAATTATATAGCAACAAATTTGACAAATTCTAGTTAAATGATGTTATTTAAGTTAGGGAAATGTCTTCAATTTTAATGGAATTCCATTTCGTTTGCTGAAAACTTTTTCGAAGTATTCGACTGAAAATTACAAATGACAAATAAAATTTCTTCACAAGTGCAGGCAGCTGGTCAAACAGGCAAATAAGTTTGGCCATACATTGCAGCACACACACACACACACACGCACACCAAGGCCCAATACTGCGTCTAGTGCTGAGTAAATATGCGCAACACACATACACACACAAAGCTGCAGCCGTCGAAACAAAGCAAATCAATGGCCGCAACAGTCAACAGGCAGTTGAAAGCCAAATCCAGTTAGCTGAGCACAGATTTGCGGGGACGTGCCACAATGGCGGGGAGGGGGTGTGTGTGGTGTGTGTGTGGCACAACACATAGCTGCAATCAAGCGTGGCAGCACGATAGAACTTAGAGCAGCAGCTCAGTCAGCCAGGTGCGATTGCTGGCGTTAACTGATAATAGCTGCGAAAAATACACACACACACACACTCACACACACACTTACACGCACTCCTAGTTGCTGGTAATCTTATCGCTTAGGCAAATTGCAGTCGGCACTTAAAGCAACAGCGAGTAAATGCGCACAGAAATGTATTGTGGAAAGTGCCAAGCAAACTGATAAAGTGCAGAGAAGGGGAAGAGAGGGTTTTGGGTAATGTAGGCAAAATACGGCTGCATTTGTATGCGCAACACTTTGCATTCATCCATAAAAGTGTAAACGTTTTATGGCAACAACAACAACAACAACAACAACAACAACACTTGCAACTTGATAATGCGGGCTTATATATTTATTAGAGCTGAGCAGACAAATTTGGTTATTAGCTGGCATAAAAGTGCTGCCAATTTGTTGGCAGCGGATGGGGGGTGCAAATTTCGGCCTGGCAGCACTTAAGTTTTACGAGTCCAACGGGGCGACAAAGTTAAGCGCCAAAAAAGGTGTGGCAAAAAGTTAAACGAAGAAGCAAGCGAGGGTAGGGGGCGTGGCATGTGTTGTAACTAAGTAAGAGTATTAAAAAAAGAAAAAAAACGCGACAGGCCAATATATAAAGCCAAAACTTGAGCTATTATTGATAGCGAGCGTATGTTGAATGTGCGCAAAAAATAACATAGCATACTTTGCAGCGCGCGCACTTCGAGTGGGCGTGATGGAAGTGGGGAGGCGGAGAGGGGAGTGGGGGCGTGTCAGAGCGCCTTGTGCTAATAAAAATATTTTTACGAGTGTACACACAGGCCGCACGCAAGGCAATAACAGAAATTAGCAATAAAAAAATGCCTAGGCCAAGGCACGAGGCAAACACTCATCAGCTCGCATGTAAGCAGCGCAAATTGCGTGTGTGCTTTTCTGGAAGGGGAAGGGAATGTGGATGGGCAGGGGGAGGGGGAGGGGGGAGGCTGTGCGGCAACTTCAATAAAAGTGGCAAGTCCAATGCATAAAACCTCAAATGTACGAGCATCTATTTGGCCAATGCAAAAGCACGTCGCATAGTGAAAAGCAATGTTCAAATCGTTTTTTTTTCTCTCTTTATGAGGAAAATTGTGGCACATATTAAAAAATAAGGAAGAACCTACTGGAGCGCATGAAATTTGTTTTGGCTTTTGACCTGCATTTTCGCATGACGCGAACTTTCGATAACTTTCTCCGATGGCTTTTCATTGACAGTCGCCGCAACGCATTTCCGCCAGACGCACACGTGACGTATGAGTAATGAAAACTCGCACACATGACTTTGGCCTTTATGATGAGTTTGTATGCGCGCGTGTGCGTGTGTGTGTGTGTGCAGTGTGTTATTTTCAATTCGTTGGCTGTCAAAACTTTCAACATCTATGTATAGTTTATGGCAAATCTTTCGAGCACTTCTTTTCTATCACTTACATATACTTATATATAAATCACTTTTATTTCCAATTTATTGGGCACATAAATCATAAAATCTCGCTTTGCCTTTAGCCGCAAAAACATTTCCTTTGATTTATGTGCGTAAAAAAAAAACGTATGCTTGCTTAAACGAACAATCGCTACGTTTTTCACGCGCCCATTAAATGCAATTAAAAGAATAGCATTAATTTCAGTGCTTGTGTGTTTTTCAACAATCATAAAAATTGTGTAGCCGCACGACCTTCTCGTAGGTACTATAGCAAATAAATGTATATATCTTTGCCGAGCTGATCCAACATTATGGCCAGCAGAGGGCATTTTTTATGGACTGCCCGTTTTTGCTGAGAGTATTTCAAATTGGCTATAAAAAATCTATTTTTGTTCTATTTGTATACGCGAACCCATTAAAAATGGCCAAAAAGGGTGTATTGGTTTCGAGCAAATGTATGTAACAGGCAGAAAGAAGATTCTCCGAGTCCATAAAGTATATATATTCTTGATCAGCAGCAATAGCCGAGTCGATCTAGACATGTTTGTCTGTGTGTCTGTTCATCTGTCTGTCCGTCCGTCCGTCTGTCTGTCCGTATGTCTCTCCGTATGTTGAACAGAAGGATCTCAGAACCGATAAGAGCTAGAAAAATGTTAAATTTTGAACGTAGTTTGTTTCCGATAACCGATAACTTGCCCCGCTTTCAAGCAATCGATAAAAATCGTTATCGAAATACTTTTTTCTCAGCAAATCTCTCATATTTTTACAGCTAGATTCGCCAAGCTTGACATATAACTTCTAGATAAGTATATAAAATTTGAGGAACTTTCATTTTATGTCTATCCGCCCATAGTCCACGCCTTTTTTAAGGCTATTTCAGGCTCGATTTGCCTACGACAACTGTTTTTTTTTTCTGTCTATTTTTATCGCAAATGTATTTTTTTGCCATTTATATGCGTGGCTAGATATTCATTTTGAAGGCATTGTCAACACTGGGATTTGCTCTATGAAAATATTACAACGGCTCAATTGAATATATTTTGCCATGTTGTTTGTTTTCCTTTGGGAACAGCTGTTGTATTTCAACAATTTTACAAAGGACATAAGCAAGGGATTTGCTCGTGCTGTTGCACAACTGTTGCCCAAATGCAGTTTATGCGCTTAAATCAACAAAATGCACTTTTAAAAGTGCCAAAAACAAAGGCAACAAAAACTTTTGCGTAATTCGCTTCCTATTTTTTGTGTTGACAATTGCTTGGGCGTAATTTGATTGTTGAATTCGTTTTATGCTGTGGAAAGCGAAAGCTTACAACTTTTTTACAGACAAATATTTGCGTTTACGGCTCGTTTAGTTGGATTTAAATAACACAAAGAAGCTCACAGAAAAAATATTTAAAAAAATATATAAATAAAGAAAATTAACAGACAAGCTAAAATAATTGCTATTCTCTGTGAATTATGCATAGTTTAAGGGCATTTATAATTTATGTATTTAATTTAAATATGTAATTAGCTGGCTTGATAAATAATACAATATTCCCACACAATAACTGAGCATATTTTCATATTATAACCAAAAGTAGCTGCTTTTCCATTATTTGCATTTAAGTATATTGCCAAATTTGAATTCCATTTGTATTCACATAAATCAACGCAAAGTGCAGAGCTGTGGCCAGAAAAGCCGTGGAAAAAAAATGATATTACGCATACGCCACATTGAACATGCCGCAAAGCAGAAAACCCATATTTAAGTTGTCGCTTATCTCAGGGGCAGGCAGCGTCAAGTCTAACAAACCGTATATCATCAGATACAAAAGCACTTTTAAATGTGAATACGCAAAATTCTCAACTGTCAGCTGTCATGGTAATGCATCATATAAAAAAAGTATATTTGAGAGCGTGCCGCTGATTTATATAGAACGCGCGCAATTTGAAGATTTTGAAGTGCACACAAAATAGTAGCTAATATATCAAATAGAATGTGAGCAGTGAACATGCGCCACAGGATGTGTATATGAAAGGAACGTGTGTATATATACACATGTCCGCAACAGTTGCTTAAAGCCCCAAAACTCAATGTCACAGCGGAAAGCATATGCTGTCCCTGGCCGGGATTATGTCCGGATACGGGCAGCTGAGCAAATAGCTTGGCCAACTCCGCTTACTGGAAGAGCATAAAAAATTGATAGAAATTGCTGTTGTTGCTGCAGATTACGCGCACAGGCAATTTATTTATTTAGCACATGTTTTATTTTCGTTTATATTCTTCCTTTTTTTTTTGTTGCTTTTTCTGCTTCGCTATCCTGGGGCTAAGAACCCAAATGGAATAATTTATAAACCGCAGA